AATGTATAACAAATTAAGAATCTCTCAAATATATTTCATGTTTTTCTTAATTTTCACAAATAAAATGATAGCACATGCCATCATCTTATGGGAGTAAATTTATTGAATTAACTAGAATTAAAAGAAAGAACAAATTTGTATTGTTTTCTATCTAACTAGGGTTAAATTTGTTGATTTACTCTGAATAGTGACCGAATTGATAGAATATATAAATTTAAGGATTAAAATTATTATTTTCGCAAAGCACGTCACTATCTCTGTTATTTTTTTAACATTGGCGACCAAAGTATAAAACAAGTATAACATTAGTGACTAAATTTATAGAAAAAAATAGTTTGGTGAATAAAATAAAAAGTTTAATAATAGTTTGATGACTAATCGTGTAATTTGACCATAGATCATATATAGTGAAATAAATGCACACACATGGGTTATTGGGATAGTTGGATATATATCCACATCGAAAGTGAAATGATTAAAGGGAGCCAATCCATGCTCTTTCTTTGTCTAAGTTCTTACCCTTTGAGAAAATCCATGAGCCAAAATTCTAAAATGAAAAAGGAAAATTCGACATACATATGATTAACCATATACTATATGATATAATCAGGACGGATCTATTCATTAGTTCGGTGGTCATCGGTCCCTTCTGGTTTTTCTATCATAAAATATATATAGGGATAATTATATATTTGATCATTCAAATACAAAACCTAATACGAAAAGACACCATATATTTTAGTCCTAGATATCAAACAATAATTCTCATGACCACTTATTAACACCATAATATTTACAGGAGAGTCTAAGGAAAGACAACCTAATTTAAGATCGAGAAAAGGTCCAATCGAAAAGGTTATAAAAATCATAATATTTTCGGTTAGGCGCAACCTAAAATGTTAATTTTTTCTTAGCATTTTTTCAGTTAAAAACAATTTTTATAACATTTTCAGTTGATAATCGAAAATGTTGTTTTCTGTATAACATTTTCGATTCATCCAAAAATATGAAAAAAAATAATATTTTATGTTCCGTCTGAAAAGAAAAATATGACATATGAAAAGGAAAAATCGACATATGATTAATCATATACTATATGGTATAACCAGGGACAGAGCTATTCATGAGCTCGGGTCACTGCCCCTTCTAATTTTTTTATCATTAAAAATATATAGCGATAGTTACTTATTTGGTCATTCAAGTTTTCGTTATTTTAATTTTGCTCTTCTTATTTTTTTATTAATGATTATAATTTGTCTTTCTTGAACTTCAAGTTTTGGTTTATTTTGATTTTGTCCATCTTATTTTTCTTTTATTGTCGGTTATATTTTATTCCCTTGAACTATAATTCTGATTCCGTCCCTGGACATAACTGGCTAATGTTATTTATGTTGAACCCTTCGTCTTAATTTACCATTTGCGTATGCTCCAAGACAAAGCTAAGTTCATAAAATCCATGGCTAGGATGCGGTCCACGTGGCTCTAGGAGATGGACACAAGACTAGGTTATATGACATATGTTAATCAAATAAATAAACCCTAAAAATGTGAAAAATCTCTGCATTTTAGAAATTAAAGAAAAAGAACCTTCGTTAGCTAAAACACCCAAATAGTGAGGCGGAAAATAATTCCTCAAATCAGGATTATGGAATTTTATTTATTTTTTTCAAGTAGGATATTCTTCATAGTGGATAGGGGAACAACATAGATCATCTGGGGATGATTAAAATGTTCGAATTTGATAGGTTTCATTTTGATCTTATAAAAATATTTATTTTAAATTTCGGGATTTAGGACGTAATTTTGTTTAAGGTGAAAAATCATTGACTCGTCTTGACCAGGTATAAACCCTTATATATATATATTTCTTTTATTTTATAGTATTAGATTATGTTATTTAATTATTAAATATAATAAATATTATAAATTATATTATTTTAATTATTTTAAAATATTAATATTTTTAGATCGAATCGGAGTCGGGATTTTTGTCTAAAAATCGAGAAAAATTCAAAACGGAAGAAAAATAAAAAATTATCCAAGTGTAATGAGGTCGGATCTCGGTTATATATTTTTTAATTCGGAGTCGAGATGGCCAAGAAACCGACTTACGTGAAGACGTATCGAAGATCCATCGTCTCTCTAACCACTGTGCATGGCTCCGGATGCAGAAACGATTACGTCGTTTGTTGGTATCCTTGAGCTGATGGAGGAGCTAATCAGAGAAGATGAATTGATGCTGACATCATTAATAAGATAAAATAAATACAAGACCTAATAAGAGAAGACACCATATATTTACACCTATATATCAAATAGTATCTTTTACGACCACCTATTAACACTATAACATTCAGATGAGAATATAAAGAGAGACAACTTAATTTAAAGTCGAAAAAAGATCCATCATAACGTAATCTAAAATATTTATTTTTTTAATATATTTTTATTGAAAATATTTTTATAATATTTTTCGGTTGTCAATTAAAAATATTAAATTCTATCTAACATTTTCGATTCAGCTGACAATATTAAAAGATTAACACTTTATATTGTGTCTAATTAAAAATATTATAATTTTTATAATATTTTCGATGGGTTCATTTTCTACCGTTGCTCAGTCTTTCGCTGTTCCGTTATGTAGCTTCCTTCCAAAGTGCAGGAACAGCAAATGTTTTCAAATCGTGAACCTATCAATGTCAATCAACTTTAGAGTGAGTATAGTTAGTTGGTTAGTTCCATCAAGGCTCAGTGTATATCACTTGTCAATCAGAGGAGCCACGTGTTAAAATTTTATCATACATGAAATTTTATTTAATTACGATATCAAATCGCCAAAAATATAGGTTACACTTGAATGTGTTAAAATCTCTTAATATTCATCTTTTAAATTAACATATAATTAACTTTTACATAATACCAATCAAAACTAAAACAATGTCTTATTAAACCAACAACTAGTTGGTCTAGTAGGATAGTACACTAGATCCTTTAAGTAAGGTCAGTGATTCGAATATTGGCGATTATGAATGGAACAAATTAGATTAAAAATGTTATCCTTACATATGTAGTACCCGATCCAGATCAGTCAATAGATGATTATACAAAAAAATATATTGTTAATAATATAATATAAGTTTTTTTTTCTTTCACAACTTGAGTTAATATTTTATTATAAAAACTTGATATAATAATTAATTTTATTTTAATATATCATATATGTTACATCCATATTATTATTCTTTTCATTCTATATATGTATTCTATATATATATAACTTTCGACTATGTATTTTCATATTATATATGATACATTAGGATGGATTTAGGCAGAATCAAGACCGATTATTTTTAAAAATTTAAAATTATCATATCATGTGTGTTTTTTTTATGTATGGACACTGTCCATTCTCATCTTAATATTTTTCAACCCGATTTAGAAGCGAAAAAGATGATTCCCGATGTCGTCTTGTTTATAACAACCAGTCCACCTCTAAATTATCAACTTCGAAGATGATCGTTTATTCTTTTAGTAAAGAGAGAAAACGATGTAAACTAGTTTTGAACTCTATATTTAATAGATTTATTAGTTTTTCATATCAACATTTAAAGAAATACGTGTTAGGAGATTCACTCACTAAGATTAGATCGTGATTCGGATTGATCGGAATTAATCAAGATTAAGATTTGAGAACCGGAAAGGTACAAAAATTATTGATATTTTGTGAGGTTAACCCTTAACTTAAAAAGCATCCACGCAGGGCCGTCTTGTAAATTTTGGCAGCCCTGTGCCATAACAATAAAATAGGTCTTTTAAAACTAAAATATTAGATATATAAAGAAGTTCACTAATATTTCAAAATTTGGTGATCCTATACCATAACAGTAAAATAAGCATTGGACTTGAAAATTTTTGGACCAAATATTCTAAATACACATACATACAAAAAGCTTAAAAATTTTTGGAGGCCCTTACAAAAATTGGGCCCTGTACATTTGGGCAGCCCACACAGGCCCAAAACCGGCCCTGCATCCACGTATACAATAAGTTATCAATTTTGGCATTAAAGGACTTTCCCTCACCTGCAACGTGAAGCACTTGATTGAATAAGACCCCATTTGTAAAGCACTAAACCCACAAGCTCTGATCCCTTCGTCACCAAATATCCCACACTGTTCAAACATTCCATGCCCATCTCAAGTTACCTCTTCCATTCTTCGTTTTCTTTAGGGTTTATGAGAATGACACCCAACCACAAAGGGTGCACAAACCTCAGATCCAACTAACTCTGCCTCCTCTATTTATTTAAGAGAGAGAACACATTCATAAATGGACTCCACACACTTACTATCCACCCCTCAAAATAGGAATATTTAAAGAACCTCAAATATAAGAGATGGTTGAATCACAAATAATGCCATGAAAAGTTAGTACAAGTATTTTAGTTCACAACATTTTAGTTTTTGGTCAAAGTAGTCATGTTAGATGAAAACTTTTAGTTGATTAATGGTCAATGTATATTGTTGATGTTTCATTTCTACGATTACTCGATTATTGACATGTCACATGTTATGTCATCACTTCAAGTGACGTGTCACGTGCCACATCATCACATTGGGTAACGTAATACATGTCACATTGGGTAACGTATTTTTTTGAAAAAAATTATTCATAAAATTACGTTTTGGTTCTGTTTAGGTATGATTTTGAAAAAAAAATTGAGTGACCAAATTGTAATCATAAGAATAGTTGGGTGATTAAATACTTAGTTTACCCTAAAAAAGATCTGCAATTTCCAATCTGGCCTGCATGCTTTTTGGTACGTGTTTCATTATTGCTTCAACCGTCACACAAAAGGAGAATTTACTACAACAGATTATTACAGCTTGTTTACGGTTGCAATAAAAGGTCCCCATCTACTTCACACATCTCCACCATCATTTTTTCCCCTCTTTCATTATATTTCATTCATTGTTCGCAACTTTTGTTGTGCTGCTCTTTCTTTTTCTTGGTTTCAAAGGTACAAACTTTTTTTGTATCTCCGGCGAAATGACACCTCCGGGTTCATTATCCGGCAACCAAGATGACGAAAACGACACGAGCAAGAAGAAATCGGGAGGGAAGCAGCAGCAGAATGTTCCATTGTTGAAGCTGTTTTCGTTTGCCGATTGTTACGATTACGTGCTCATGGCTCTGGGATCACTCGGTGCATGCGTGCATGGCGCTTCGGTCCCAGTTTTCTTCATCTTCTTCGGAAACTGATCAACATTATAGGCATGGCTTACCTCTTCCCCAAAGAAGCTTCTCATAAAGTTGCAAAAGTAAAATAAAAAACAATCCTTTCTCTAAATTTCTTATAAAAATGGTCACTTTTTGTTTGATCCGACTTTTTTTTTCATGCAGTACTCGTTGGATTTTGTATATCTCAGTGCGGCTATTCTGTTCTCCTCATGGATAGGTACGTATTTATGCATATATGTACGTATGCATATGTATAAGTATAACTTGAATGTGTATGAATTATATAGAGGTGGCTTGCTGGATGCACACCGGTGAGCGGCAAGCGGCGAAAATGAGGATGGCATATCTAAAGTCTATGCTAAATCAAGATATAACCTTATTTGACACCGAAGCTTCAACCGGCGAAGTCATATCTGCAATTACAAGTGACATTATTGTTGTTCAAGATGCCCTTTCCGAGAAGGTAAATTTATTCTTTTCACTTTGCGTTTATTGTGATTTCGAATATAAAGAAACAGTTATCTTTGTCGTGAAATAGCGATTTCGAACGAGACCGCTGTTGCTATATAGCAACCTGGTTTCAATATCGGACTGTTATTTAAATCTATGTTAAAACCGAATTAAAGTAGAACATAATGGCGTATTTGGAGTGGATGAACGGAGTTCCAAGAGCATTAATACGATCTGACGAAGCTTTTATAAGTCTGCAACCAAACTTAATAATAATAGCAAATAAATGGAAAGAAATTAGTTGTAAGCTTTGTCATTATAAATATGAAAATTGAATGAATTTTGCAAAGGCAGATTGAATTAACTAGCATTTATAGGTCGGTTGGTTGTTCGGTGTTTTTCTACTTTTGGAGTTGTATGATTATATATACTTCTTGCCAGCTTGTTCACAGCAAAAGCAGAAAACTATTGGTCAAAGAAAGGAATGGTTGTTGACTATTGATTGCAGTCTCCAATTATTTTTTTTAAAGTCCGTGACGATTATTAGATAATAAATGTTTAAAATCTTTCTTAAGCTTTGACAATGCACACCCGATAAATACAACTACTCAAACCCGGAAATATGTAAATATGAAATGGTGGTGAATGATGGCAGGTTGGGAATTTCATGCATTACATAAGCAGATTCATAGCAGGTTTCAGTATTGGCTTTGCTAGAGTATGGCAAATCAGCCTGGTAACACTCTCAATCGTTCCATTGATAGCCCTTGCCGGTGGCATTTATGCATATGTTGCCACGGGCCTCATTGCTAGAGTTCGGAACTCATATGTCAAAGCCGGTGAAATTGCTGAAGAGGTCGGTTTTGCAGTCTCCGGTTAATCCATTTCCCAACGTCACTGTCGATCCAAACTTTAGGACTGATGTTTGTGAATTTGCAGGTGATTGGTAATGTGAGAACAGTCCAAGCATTTGCAGGGGAAGAAAAGGCCGTGAAATCATACAAGGAAGCGTTGATGAATACGTACAAGTATGGTAGAAGAGCTGGCTTAACCAAGGGTCTAGGGCTCGGCTCACTGCATTGTGTGCTTTTTGTTTCTTGGGCATTGCTCGTTTGGTTCACCAGTATAGTTGTTCATAAGAACATTGCGAACGGTGGGGATTCATTTACTACCATGCTTAATGTTGTCATCTCTGGCCTGTAAGTTCCTACAAAGATAACTTATTTATGGATTAGATGTACAATTTCATGACCATTGTCGATTTCTGTATGCTTATGGTTCTGTGCAAATTGGTTTTGTTCTGTTGCAGGTCGTTAGGACAGGCGGCGCCGGACATCACTGCGTTTATTCGAGCAAGGGCGGCTGCCTATCCCATATTCGAGATGATCGAGAGGAATACAGTTAGCAAAACCAGCTCCAAAACTGGTCGTAAACTAGGCAAAGTGGAGGGCCACATTGAACTAAAGGATGTATCTTTCAGTTATCCATCTCGCCCCGATGTAAGTATCTTCAATAGGTTCTGCCTCAACATACCCGCTGGAAAGATTGTGGCACTTGTAGGAGGAAGCGGGTCGGGGAAGAGCACGGTCATATCGTTGATCGAAAGATTTTATGAGCCACTTGCTGGGGAAATATTGTTGGATGGGAATAATATCAAGAACCTTGACCTTAAATGGCTTAGACAACAGATCGGTTTGGTTAATCAGGAGCCTGCTCTTTTCGCAACAACCATTAGGGAAAACATTCTGTATGGAAAAGATGATGCTACTTTTGAGGAAATAACACGTGCCGCAAAACTTTCCGAGGCCATTACCTTTGTTAATAATCTCCCTGATAGGTTTGAGACTCAGGTATTCATTTACTATTGTCACTGTATCATACCTTTATCTGGAAGCAAATCCTATGTTCTATGATCATTGACTTGATAATCAAGTTTCTTGTAATAAGAATTTATAAGTATTTGGTGGGGATTTGCAGGTTGGTGAACGAGGAATACAACTATCAGGTGGACAGAAGCAAAGAATTGCGATATCTCGGGCCATAGTGAAGAATCCATCGATTCTTTTGCTTGATGAAGCAACAAGCGCCCTCGATGCAGAATCTGAGAAGAGTGTACAGGAGGCGCTTGATCGTGTGATGGTGGGACGAACGACAGTGGTGGTAGCTCACCGGCTTTCTACTATTAGGAATGCAGATGTGATTGCTGTTGTTCAAAGTGGGAAGATTGTTGAAACTGGCACTCACGATGAGCTTATTTCGAAACCGAACAGTGCCTATTCTTCACTCGTTCAGCTTCAAGAGACATCACCTTTGCAACGCTACCCCTCACAAGGTCCTACTTTGAGTAGGCCACTCAGCTTGAGTTATTCAAGAGAACTATCCCGAACTAGGACTAGCTTTGGTGCAAGTTTTCGTTCTGAAAAGGACTCAATTAGCCGTGCTGGTGCTGATGCAATTGATGCAGGGAAGGCAACTTACGTTTCACCTGGAAGACTGTATTCCATGATAGGACCTGACTGGTACTATGGGGTCTTTGGTACCATTACTGCATTGATTGCTGGAGCTCAGATGCCTCTATTTGCTCTTGGGGTTTCTCAAGCTCTTGTAGCCTATTACATGGACTGGGAGACAACGTGCCGTGAAGTCAAGAAAATCGCCATCCTGTTCTGTTGTGGTGCGGTTATAACAGTCATTGTTCATGCAATCGAGCACCTCTGTTTCGGTATCATGGGAGAGCGACTCACTCTTCGTGTGCGTGAAGTGATGTTTTCTGGTAATATGTTATCTAATCTTAGCAATCATTCAACATTGTGCAACGGTGTTTGTATTCTTATTCTTGCCTCGTAACTTCTATTTGCAGCCATTTTGAAGAACGAGATCGGTTGGTTCGATGACCTAAACAATGCAAGTTCCATGCTTGCATCGCGCCTAGAAACAGATGCAACTTTCTTAAGAGGTGTAGTCGTCGACCGGACATCGATTCTCATTCAGAATGTAGGCCTGGTGATAGCAGCCTTCATAATTGCATTCATCTTAAACTGGAGAATCACACTTGTTGTCTTGGCCACTTATCCGTTGATCATAAGCGGTCACATTAGCGAGGTTTGCACACCCTTCGCAGTCCCACCATGAATTTATATGAACACCATACATATTTAGTACTATACTGTTGTTCTTCCTATGATTCAGAAACTCTTCATGCAAGGCTATGGTGGTAACTTGAGCAAAGCATATCTAAAAGCAAACATGCTTGCCGGTGAGGCTGTCAGTAATATGCGTACCGTTGCTGCGTTCTGTGCCGAGGAAAAGATCCTCGATCTCTATTCCCGTGAGCTCGTAGAGCCTTCGAAGCGTTCATTTAAGCGTGGACAAATTGCAGGGATATTCTATGGCGTTTCGCAGTTCTTCATCTTCTCATCTTATGGCCTTGCCTTATGGTATGAAACTTGAGCTATAATGTACATACACACATATATAGAGACACAATCAGTGAATATATAATGTGTGTAGGTATGGTTCTACTTTAATGGGGAAGGAGCTAGCTACCTTCAAATCGGTCATGAAATCGTTTATGGTTTTGATTGTAACGGCATTAGCCATGGGAGAAACTCTGGCACTGGTCCCAGACCTTCTGAAAGGGAACCAAATGGTGGCATCCGTGTTCGAGATCATGGACCGGAAGACGCAGGTTGTCGGGGATGTCGGAGAAGAACTAAGTAGCGTGGAAGGCACCATTGAGCTAAGGGGCGTTAACTTTAGCTATCCATCAAGACCAGACGTGGTCATTTTCAAGGAATTTGATCTGAAAGTACGTTCAGGCAAGAGTATGGCACTTGTGGGGCAAAGCGGCTCCGGTAAGAGCTCGGTTCTCGCTCTTATACTTCGGTTCTACGATCCAACATCCGGGAACGTGATGATTGATGGTAAGTTTGTTTCAGAAATCTCCTAGACATCATTATTTTTCACTTTGACTTACATCTTACAGATATTTGTTGATCTTTTACAGGTAGAGACATCAAGAAACTGAGGCTGAAATCCCTTAGGAAACACATTGGATTAGTCCAACAAGAACCGGCTCTTTTCGCCACATCGATATACGAAAACATCCTATACGGCAAAGAAGGAGCTTCGGAATCCGAAGTAATCGAAGCTGCCAAACTTGCTAATGCACATACTTTCATAAGTTCCCTCCCTCAAGGCTACTCCACCAAAGTCGGTGAACGAGGGGTGCAACTCTCCGGCGGTCAGAAACAGAGAGTAGCCATCGCTCGAGCCGTCCTCAAGAACCCTGAAATCTTGCTGCTCGACGAAGCCACCAGCGCTCTCGACGTAGAGTCGGAGCGCGTGGTGCAGCAAGCTCTAGACCGGCTGATGAGGAATCGAACGACGGTGATGGTGGCGCATAGGCTGTCGACTATTAAAAACGCGGATCGGATATCAGTCATACAAGGAGGACGGATAATCGAGCAAGGGACGCATTCGAGCCTAGTCGAAAACAAAAACGGACCGTACTATAAGTTGATCAACCTTCAGCAGCAGCAGCTGGAACAATAGTGTCAATAAGAGAATAACAAGAAGAAGAAACAGGTTACTCAGACAATTTATGCAGCTGCTTTGATTAATATTTTACATATTTTTTTTGCTTCACTGAATGTGAATTTATCTGAGCTTAAGCCATTGTTTCCATATGAAGAAAATAATACTGATTTATATTGAAGAATACTCTATCAACTGCCTTTTTTTTTACCATTATTCTATCACAATAGCTTTCTTAATTTGCTATGTTTTTGCTGCATTCGAGTTAGTCCAAACGAACCGAAGGAACATGATGTTCAAGTTCGTTCATTTAAACGATAAACGAACATAAATAAACCAACATAAATTAATTGAGTTTATATTTGAGAAGAATTTTTTCTTTTTAAATAATTTTAAGATTTATATTTTCTTTAATTAATTTGAGTACTTTTTATTTGGGTTTAAATTAATTGAATTTAAAAATATTAATGGGTTTAGAGCCAAAATTTATTAAGTCTTTATATTTCAAACGAGTCTAGACAACATAAACGAATATAAACGAACGGATTATCGAACGTTCACGAACGTAAATGAATGAATGAGCCTTTTGTTCATGTTCATTTATTTAATTAAACAAACATAAAACATTATTCATGTTCGTTCGTTTAATAAATAAACGAATTTCCCATCGAACGGTTTGCTGAACGTTCAGTTCGTTTACATGCCTAATTCGATTGCATGTCATGCGTTAATAATACTTACAATTTAATTATGCAATTAAAATATTATTATAAATAGATCATTGAACATTAAAATTTAAATAGATTTTTTAATATAACTTAGTATAATAATAGATTTAATTCCAAAATTTATGTATTTTTATTAATTTGATCTTAATTTAAAATAATTAAATAAATTTAATCTTTCATATTTAAAATAAACATTAAACTTTAAATTTTATTACAAAAATGAACATATACCACTAAAGAGATTTTGTGACATGCTATAATAAAAAAAAATATCTCATTTGACCCTTCAAATGTAATAGAAAATTTATTCTACTGTTAGTTTTGATTGAAATAATTTTTATTAGGTTTATTGAACTTAAAACACAATAGATGTAAATAAATTAAATATTATTTTTTGTATCATATTATAAATATTGAATTTGTACAATACAAATGATTTGATATTACAATTTTAACTAAAATTTAAGTTTAGATGTATTTTTCTTATTAATGTGATAAACTCGAAACTATTATCTCCAATGGCTAAACTCGAAACCAAAATCAAGTGTCGTTTACGTATCATTCGGGAGCATCGCCGTTTTAGCAAGGCAACAAATGAAGGAAATCGCTCGAGCTTTGGTATCCAGTGGGCGGCCATTTTTGTGGGTGGTGAGAAACCAGAAAGCTAGAGGAGAAGAAGAAACCGAACAATATAAACTGAGTTGCAGAGAAGAACTAGAGAAGTTCGGGATGATAGTCCCATGGTGTTCACAAGTGGAAGTTTTGTCTCATCCATCGTTGGGTTACTTCGTGACTCATTGCGGGTAGAGCTCGACGTTGGAGAGCTTGGTCGTCGGAGTGCCCACGATGGTGTACCCTCAATGTTCCGATCAGGCGACGAATGCGAAGCTCATCGAAGATATGTGGGGGATGGGGGTTTATTTTATTTAATTTATTATTTTCATAAATCATTTTTTACTATTAAAAAATATTGCAGGTGGCATTTTGAAGGGTTAACGGTTAAATTTAACGTTCCGTAACGATTTGACTCATTTTAAGTGATGGAAAGAAATATTAGACATCAAATTAGAATGAAATAATCATTAGACACTAAACTAAAAAAACAGACATAAATTATACACCTTTTGTATACTTAAACTTATTCAAAATCATGAAATAATCAAGTTCAACAAGAATATGGAATGAAATAAACGTTAGACACTAAACTGGAAAAACGTACTTAAGTTGGACAATTTTATATACTTAAGCCTTAAACTTATTCACAATCATGGAAGAACCAAGTTCAATAAGAACATGTTGCCAACCCTGTTCCACGGCCAAGTGCACCGCAGCACGGAGACTATGCAGTTCAGCCAACCCTGATTCAAAGAATCCAGGTGAGGTAGTAGCTAGACCCCCCGGACCAAACCCTGCGTCATCCCGTGTAACGATACCTACAACAACAATTCGAGAAAACGAACCATTCGCACCATCCGCATTCAACTTGATGACTCCTTGTTTCATCCCTAGATTTTTAAGGGTTGGTAAATTTTTGGTTTTGAAGTCAGAGATCGATGTATTTTGACCAATTGAGCAAGTCAAATGTGAAACCTCTAATATAAAAATAGATTGCTCAGTTCAAATTGTAATATTTGCCGTGTTCATTTGAATTGAAATTGCAGCCAACCATATCCTCGTTCTTATCAAATTGGTAATAGTTTTACTGTAATTCAAAAGTCACGTGTTGCTTGGAGAGGAGAATGGCAGGCTGGAATTAAAAAAGGGCTAATTTACAAAAAAGGAAAAGCTGCTGCACCAATAAACTATTGAAAGAGCAGTTGGAGACTGTTGCAGATTTTTTGCTGGAGGGGATCAGATTATATGAACATTGAAATTAAGGGTGCAAATGATGTCAAAAATTGCAGGAAATTGACAATTTTGCTGACTGATATGGTGATGCCATAGACTTAAGGAAGCTGCTTCCAAGTCATTTGTTAAACCAAATATATAATATGATATTCCAATAAAATATAACAATGAAATGGTTCATTTGATTGAGGAAAAAAATTACAGTGAAAATGTAATTTAAAATGATTAAAAAATATAATTTTAACTTTAATAAGATATATCTCCTAGTTAACAATATAGTAATATAATAAACAATAAAATTATTTCTATCAATTTAAATGATGCTAAAAAAAAGTCGATAGTGCCATATAGTTAGATACCCTTTGCGGGAGCTTAACGATGCATTTAGAATTATTTCTCTATGTCTTCGTTGATATTGTCTATAGGTTCGAATAGAGATACAAAGATTATTGATAATTGCTATATATTTTTTAATGATGAAGTATGTATTTAAGGAAAAGTTTTGATTTTACTTTTCTTCGCATCCTTCGAATTTTCATGTTGGGATTGCGTTACCTTTTAGGATTAAAGGGAGTGTTATTCTATCTTTGATTTCTGGGTTAAAGAGAGTGTTATTCTCCTTAAGATTTTGGATTTGAGTAGTTACATTTGCAGGTTGTATGTATGTTGTCAATAATTAAGAACGATTAGAACATATATTAGATTATAATCCTCTCGTACTATTAAAAAAATTCTCTAACCCTAGTTTTAGGTTCTTCCAAATAAAAGATAAGTGTTTACAGACGTATATAAGATTTGATATCTGAAGATGAATTTATAAAAATTTAAAAGTGAAACAAATTATCAATAAAATATAAAGAAAATATATAAATTATATTAAAATTTAAAAATTTCAAACGAGAATTATGTCCTGTAGGTGCTGCTAGGTTACTTCCCGGTCTCTGTTTTTCCGTGGGAAAGTTGTGAAAATATTATAATCAAATAAAGAGAATGTTAATGACATCAATGGTTTGAACTTTGAATCACGTAGCGCATGCATGCACCTATAAAAACCACCTGCATCTCTCGTCTCCCTCCCAATATACAAAATTAAAACTCTTTCAGCAGCCCTTAATCACCAAGAGGAGATTTAATTAAGCTCTGTGATCGGCTGAAATGGGCAGGTCTCCATGCCGTGCTGATGATGCCAACGTGAAAAAGGGGCCTTGGACTCCAGATGAGGATCAGAAACTGGTCGATTACATCAACACAAACGGCCATGGAAGTTGGAGGTCTCTTCCGAAGCAAGCAGGCTTAAACAGATGTGGCAAAAGTTGCAGATTAAGGTGGACTAATTATTTGAGGCCTGATATCAAGAGAGGCAAATTCAGTGAAGAAGAAGAGAAACTTATCATCAACCTTCATTCAGTTCTTGGAAACAAGTATGAAATATTTCTGTTCTTTTTTTGCTTGTATCTCATGCTTAAGTTTCTTAAAAGATATGTTTTTTTTGCAGGTGGTCTAGGATTGTTTCTCATCTTCCTGGACGAACAGATAACGAGATTAAGAACTTTTGGAACACACACGTTAGGAGGAAGCTATTGAATCCGGGAATTGACCCTCACACCCACAAGCCAAGAACTGATCTTGATCACCTTTTGAACATTTCACAATTGCTTTGCGTGGCTCAATTAGGCAACTTGATGAACCCTCTGGACACTGTTTTTAAACTCCAGGCTGATGCTGCTCAACTAGCCGAAGCCCAATTACTACAGAATCTGATGCAGATTATGAACACGAATCAACGAGATCCCTGCCAACTTGAAGGATTAGCCGTACAACAAACACCTCAAAAAATCCCCATTCATGCTGGTGCAGCCCCTCAAAATCATCAGATTTTGAGGAATTCCTTTGAACAAAATGAAAATCAACTTCCTGGCTTGGTTTCAACATCTCCTGAGACTGCACAAGACTCCACTATCTATGAGGCTTGGGAGAAGCTGCTTATGGAAGATGAAGCCGATGGTGGTGCTTCCTACTGGAAAGAAATCCTCGAGTAGGTCTTTCTGATCTTCTTCATTTTCATTTCTTTTAAGTCCTTGCTTAATTGATTATACTCAAATTGTTTATTTTCTTGTTTTTGCAGCTTTATTTCATCAACTTCGTCACCAATCTCATGGTAGAGCACCTTTCGGCTTAATGGAGAAAAAATAATAATTCATCCAATATTATTTACATTTTATTTTGTCAGGGTTCTTTCATTTACTTTATTCATTTAGGAAGCTTATAATTGAGCTTCCTCTTTGTAAATTTTAGGCTTTGTTTTGTTCTTGTTAATCAATTCAATCAATAACAAATTTGAGATATAATATATTATATTTGCAAAATTCAATCCGAATTAATTCATCAATAGATCAAATAATAGTGATTAATTAAAAAAATGTTATATATTAAAACATGTTATATAGTCAAATATTTTTATTTTATTTTATTTTCTATCATTACATCCAAGATTGATGAATGGGACTAAGAGATGTTGTTCCTTCCGAAAATATTAAGTTCTCATGTATTTTAAATATTATATATATATTTTTTATTTTTTAAAATTATATAAATTTATATTTTAAAATATTATAAATTCGTCAATAAACATAAAATATTGGGTATGTTATATCAATATGAATCTAAAGAATAAAATGTTGAGTGCGGTGAGCATTAATAATTTCAGTTTTGGATGTTTGCATTTGTTTTGGTCACTAAAAGTCATAATATTAGTTGAACTATTGCCTTATAGCTGTGGTGAGGGTTTTCCGTCGGAAATAAGCCATTGACTGTCGGAAGAATTATATATCTCCAACCAAAACTATTACTAACTTTAGGAATTTTGTTGTTTTTAGAAGTTACGGGTTCGAACATCAACGATTATAACAAGGTGATAGAACGTTCATTATCAAATAGTTACGAGTATTAAGAATAAATACTACTTTATAATCACTTTAATAAAAAAAGAATGCTATGAACATTTTCTTCTTTCAAGAAATAGTGTAATAAAGACCTTATTTTATAAATAAATTAAAAGGTAAGTATTAAAATTATCATTTTGATTAAAATAAGTACTTAAAGCATTTTTTTCATTTAATTCTAAAAAGTTGACATGTAACATTAATGAAAGAATAATTTAGGTATTTAAATGAAAAATGTAATATACCTTAGTTACCTATTTTAACAAAAAAAAATACTTTAGGTATATATTTTGATCGAAATGATAACTTTGGATACTTATTTTGAAAAAAAGAAATTTTCGATACTTAGATAAAAAAGATGTATATTTTACGTACTTATTTGTGATATAAGACTTACATAAATGGCTAGGTCGTTTGCTTTATGCACAAGAATTTAATAGCTTCAACTGTTTAATGTCTATTGCTTTGAATCTAAGTGAACTCTGCATATACTTCACAAGTAAATTGCATGTCTTTGGAAGCAGATTTAATTAAACCATCCTTACCTTCAAAAACAAGACCTTAAGAATCGTTACTTCCAAATTTTGTTATCCATGGGATAGACTCTCCATATCCAACTGGATTTTGTACTGTGGGGCATGTTTTTTCAGCTCTGAGACTAGATTCTGAAGAGACAGAACATATCGATTTCGAAGTCGAAATTAACATAAGAAGCCGTACACTCGTTAGACATAAGATCTTAGTCGTCTTACTCGAACGAAGTCTCGACACATATGATGGTCCGTTAAAGTTTGAATCTTTTTTCTGACAAGAAACAACCTGCAATATAAGAACTAAAGAAGTAAATAAATATGGTGAGGTAAATAGCAGAACATGGTAGTAAACTACAAACACGTTTGGGCTTTGTTCTTCAATGATGCTTTTGGCCATTATTGAGAACTCATCTTCCCAGCCGCTCATGATCGGTTGACCTTCTTTAAAAGGGTAACTATAAATACAGCATTGTCAAGTTATGTGCATACCATAGTCTGTGATGTGGTGATCCTGCACATTCCATCAATTCATTTCTTACCCCGTCATCCATGTTGCCTCGAATGAACGAATTGCAACGCGTGGAATTCTCCGCCGTAGTCTCGGCTAATGCCTGAGGCAATTCGATACCTTCTTGTTTAGCAATGAAGTTCAAGGCTCCGACAATCTGCAAAGAAGATGATGGTTAAGGAAAAATAACCATTGGAATGATCTTGTTGAGGAAATAGACTTACCTCCATGTTTGATGGTGGAGGAAGATGGATTACCCTGCAGGTAGACTTGAGGACTTGAATTTTACCGACTTCCGCAGCAGAATATAACGTGAAGCCGACCCGTGTTCGTTAAGAAGCTTTGGATTCGGGGTTGAGCACTTTCCTGCCCGGTGGAAAACAATTGCTGCAGAAACAAGTTTAAGCATTCACAATTTCTGCATAGAAAAAACAACATACAAAGAGCTACACGCCTATACCTTTGGCATAGACATGAGGATAGTTACCTTTTCAAAGCCTTATCTGTTGCCTTAATTAGTAACTAGGCAACCTTCGTTGGATATCCTTTCATGGCAGATTCACAGAGGTTCAGCTCAAGGTGTTTAGCTGATACTTGTCACAATTTGACAAGTGTCACAATTTGACTAGAGGATTAAATTTATTAAATTAAAATTAGGATTAAATTGATATAATGTAAAAATGTTGAGGACTAAATATACAATTATGCCAATATTTTTAACTGCCACATCAGCAGTTCTGTCAATAGTTAACAACAACAATTAAATAAATAAGTAGTATGATTGACAAAATTAAAAGTTCGATGATAAAAGTAAAAGAGCTAAATAATTGAGTAGTCAATGGTATAGTTTACCCTATACTAAATCACATCACCATCTTCGGTTTTAGTGACCAATTGGAAAAAAACACAAGTTCATTAACCAAAATAGAAATTAGGTAATAATTAGATGACCAAACATGTTGTTTACTGTTTCTTTTTTGGGTTATTTTCGGATTTTACCCATTCAAGGTGATAAATGCTGTTGGCTAACAGTGGGGAAGAACTCAGAAGAGAGCTTCAATTTACTTTCACTTCTGCATTTTCATTTCCTTTAGTTTATCGAATTTATTCATTCTACTTTCTGCTTTTGTTTTTCTACTTCCCTGTCCTGTGATCTTCCATTATAAATACACAACACAGTTCTTTTAATCTACTTTGGAACTCATCGCCAATGGATTCTTTCCCAAGATCTTTCAATCCCAACAAGCACCTCAGAGAACAGTTAGCTACACTTTCTCCATTTCCAATTTCTCTTGAATCTTATGATAGTGGACCCCGTTGTTTAAAACCGTTATAATCTGCAGATTCGTGAGCAATTTGCCTGATCTTCCATGCTGGAAGTCTTCGCCTTTCTGAACAGTGTCGCTGTGAGTTTTTTCAATCCTTCAATTCCTTTTTAATTTATTTATCTCTCTAATAAAACAATGTTTTTTTGTTAAATTTCCTATTCAGCTTCTAGTGCTTTTGCGGTACACTTTCTGCTTTCAAGCCGTGAACGGTAAGGTTATCGATTCTTATAACCTTTTCTATTACGTACTTTAAACTGAAACTTATGTGCTGTGTAGAATTCATGAGTGATTTTTTTTTAATCTGATTGAACAGATGTTAGTAGGAATATAAAGTCTTACCTAGCCTCATTAGCTTTGGATTTTGTCTTCGTTGTACTACCCTCACTTTTAATTTTCACTGTAAGTACTCCCAACTAGCTACTAAAGATTTCGTTGGAATCCCCCAAATTCAACTTTTGTTTGACAAAAAAGAGTTATTGGTATGATAGGTTCTGCCAGAGTGGTTATATGAATGCACAATTGGATTATTTTTATTGCTGATCTTCTCTAATGTTGTCAAAAGGTAGAAGTTGAAGATACTTCTTATACATGTTATTTTTTCAATCATTACTTTAATGAGAACTGTTTTTTATGTACGAGTATATTAACTCAAAACCTTGTAATGCAGAACTTACTGTTTGCCTTATTCGGAAGGACCTAATGCTGTTAGGGCAAGCATATCATCTTATAGGATTGTAACGGTGTGCCTACTTGAATGTCATGCAAATTGGTTTCTTTTTAAATAAATATCTTTGCTGCCTTCATGTACTTCTCTAATTTGTGATAAAATTTTCAGTTGGAATATTATTTCTAATCTTTGTCACATGCTTGTGTATCTTGGCTGTTGAATTCAGAATATATCCTAGAGAATTTGCTAAGACAGAGACTTACGGGACTGGCTTGGTAAGATATTATCAAGGTCCTTATTTTTCTTTATATCTTCATGATAATTATTTGCATGTTTGCTATCAATTTAGCAGGAAGTAGATACTTTTACTTTTATAAAGGTAAAACCCATGTTAACATTTAATTACATATCCTCGCAGATAAAATTTTTGTTATCATTGTCTTCAGAACGGGTGCCTATGTTCAATCACTTTGAGCAGTTCAAAGGGGTATCTACATTCTTTGATAAACACTATTACGTATGGAAAGTGGATGGCTACATTAATTCACTTTGAGAACTTCTGAAATTGTCTTGTTAATATTCCAAAACTTATTGCATTTGTTTGTATTTTCAGTAAAAATTTATGTTTCTATCCTGGCAAATAGCAATCCCAATTATTTTATCTTATCGATGTTTTTGAACCTTTGCATAATTTTTGTCAGATGAACCTTGGGGTTGGCTCCTTTGTGATAATGAATGCACTTACTTCACGTCAAGCACGAAACATCTCATCATCAATGTGAGATTCTTTTCTGGATGCTGGTGTCAACTTGTCTTGTATAATGCTTGTCACTGTAAATTCCTTTTCTTTTGAGCACGTGCTATTAGTGGCATAACAATTTTTCTTTTGTGTATGCAGCATAGCTAAATTTGGTATGCAGTATATAGGTATATACTGTTTCAGATCTATGTCCTACTAATTTTTCTTAATGCTTCTGAAGGAGTCGGTGGAAGGCAGCCTTTAGATCTACAACCCCGCTACTACTGTTAGGATTTCCTAGACTTGTATCTACATTGAGTCTAGATTATCAGGTAGATATATTTCTTTGCACCGGATATTTTGTAATAATAGTTTTTTGCAATGGCATCAGATAAGTTATTTACCATGTCCGCGCACTAATATAAAACAGATGAAATTCTGGGAGATGTGTAAAATAACGCTATAAACCAGTTTGTATTCGTGACCAGAAATCCCTCTGTATTTACTGAGAGTATTTTGCATAATAATCGTAGTATTTATACAAACTGGTTTGAGTGAATGATGCATTTTTAGATGTTGATAGTTCAACCTTTCACCTGGTGGTGATTGATAATTAATACTTTTTTTCCTTTAATTCCATTTCTTCCTTACAGGTGCATGTGGGGGAATACCACATGAACTGGAATTTCTTTTTCACACTTGCTGGTGTATCTATTTTCACATCCATTTTAAATGTTCCTGCAAAATATTCTGGAATTCTGGGTTTAGAAATTTTAGTTGGTATACCTTCCTATTTATGCAGTTTATTTATATATTCTGATATTTGCTATTTGATTCTTCGTATACGATAATTTGACTTTCTAACTCTAAGGGTACCAAAGTTGGTTGACTAATGGGCTAAATGTCTATCTTCTTTCCAATGAAAGGGGTATGGATATCATAAGCAGAAACAAGGAGGGGATTTTTAGCTTATTTGGTAAGGAAAATTCAGGACTCTACCTGATGTCCTATTGCTATATGTGTTTATCATAGTTTTTGTTTACACGTACAGCTTTATTCTTGGGTAGTTGTTTGTAAGATTCTTTTGATCCCAATTCCTGAGCAAGAAACAAACAATATTCTTTGCATTTTGATGTCAATCTTCGACTCAAGTCTCACCTAGCTGAAAAGAAGATTGTACTGATTTGAAAGAAAATGAAAATTATTAAAAAAATAGAAGAATTTCTGGATTAATTTTTAGTGCCCGTTCTTTCATTGGAGATCTGTGTCATCTTGATTTGTTTCCACATTCCACAGAATAATAGGCTATTGTTCTTTTCATCAAAAATAAAATAAAATGGGGCTGCAGTCTATGCTTTCCCTTTTCATCATGTCATCTGATATAAGATTTTGTCAACTGATTACTTGTTATCATACCTAGGATACTGGGGTATGTATCTTATTGGTGTTCAGGTGAGCTACTACCTCTTCTTTGAAAACCGTCCTACCAAGAAGAGAAGCAAGCATGAAACACAAATCAGAATCTGCCTTCTTTCGCTTGTGTTTTGGTATATATATCTCTCACGTGATTTTTGTTGCCAAAACTGGTTGTGTTGATCCAATAAATTGATTGCGTGGAAAGTAACCTGATTTTTGTTCCATCTGTTCGCTGCAGAATTTTAACATTGGTTATATACAGGCATGTTGAAAGAATATCACGTAGAATGGTAGGACATGCTACTCATATATTTACTAATTTGTAAAACTATTTTGGAATTAACAATCATGATTCACCGTGCTATGGAATTTCTGCAGTGCAACCTGGCTTATGTTATTTGGGTGGTGGCTCAAAATTTACAGGTTATTCTTATTTACTCTCTTAAATAAGTCAAGAATTTAAAGTCAATGTTCATCACCCATTTAGTATTTAAGGTCATTACATTTAGTATATAAGGGTAGGACTAAATCATAGGCAGTATTATTGCGTTTCTTGTTTTCTTTTTATTTTTCTGTATGTAGTGATTGGTTGGGCACATGTTGAACCATCTTGGCCTTGTAATATCTATTTTCAGTCAACATCGAATCTCAAATGTACCACTTTAGATATTTTTAATGCTCAAAAAGAGGCTTGGACGATGTTGGTTCTATGATATATATGCATGCCGACTACTAGTTTCAGTGAAAAATGGAGGGTATTCTATGAGCAAGTTCCCTTTTCTTTTAAGATATATTTTGGTGGAGATGTGAAACTCAGTTTTACATTTGCAAATCAGTGTCTTGTGCAGAAATGGTGTCAAATGGTGAGACTGAGGAATCTTTGTTTCGACTTAGGAATAAAAATCAAGTATCAACCATGACATCGATAGGAATTTTCGGGTCCAAAGTAGCCATATTTGTTCTCTACAGCCTCTCAACAAAAGCTCACTCAAATTTTGTCAGCGGGCCCTTGCCTTTTTACCTTTTTCTTGGTCTCTTTAGTTGTTTTACTCGGACTCAGATTTGAATGTTGAGTCGAAGTATGTGTGCATCTCGTCTTACTCATGTTGAGATATGCATCAGGTACAGGTGCTTTGAAAAAAATTAAGAGACCGAGAGGCATAGTCATTTTTTTTGGGTATAATTGGTGAACATAGATGCGATTACTGACAAAAGATAATTAAGAGATTGACCCTTTTGAACAGTGATGGATGTGTATAGTTTTAGGCTTATATAACAAATAACTACCTAAAGTATATCATCTTTTTCATTCAAGTACTTAAAGTATATTTTTGGTCAAAATAAGTTCCTAAAGTTATCTTTTTGGTCAAAATAGGTACCTAAAGTATTCTTTAATTAATACCACATGTCAAGTTTTTTAGAACTTAGATGAAAAAGTTTGAATAGTTTAGGTACCTATTTTGATTAAAAAGAGGTGTTTATTTTGACCGAAAAATACTTTAGGTACTTAAATGAAAAATAGAGTATACTTTAGGTACTTATTTGTGATATAAGCCATAGTTTTATTACGTGGTGCATGGCTAAAGAAAGGTTTAACCCTTGTTTCAGCTCCAAGCAATGCGATTCCTCTCCGATAACTTCATTGGAAGCAAAGTTTTAGCTCTCCAAAGAGCATTTGACCGGAATTTATTGGCTCGTTTTCTCGTGGTAAAGTGGCCATCCCTCTGTTTTCATTAATTCATTCATTCATGTATGACTTGAAGAAATTCTTTGTTGTCCTCAACCATCATCTCAAACTAGAAAGAAATAACTTACCAGGTATTCTTGCCTTCTCATTTATGGCATGCAGGCAAAATCTGCTGAGGGGACTGGTAAACTTATCTGTGGATACCATATTAGCCTCGTCGTCAACGGCTGTTTTCATCCTGGTTTCATATTCTGACTGTGTTTTCATGGTGCTACTAGATTTTTCTGGCCTTAAGTATAAATTTTGGTGGGTTTACAGACAGTGACGTAACTATTAACGTGAGGCTTTTAATTTTCAAAAGAATTGTGTTTTGAGCTATAGCTCTGCTATACCTCTATGAACCAACTAGGCTTCTTTTGTTCCCAATGGCCCCGTTTTCTGGTCGACGTTCTAATTTCTGAAACTTATACTGATCACTTCTACAGGAGAAATACTTTCTTGGTAACTGTATGAGTCGAATTCTCGTTGCAACAATATTTCATCGGAGAATTCTATGGGAGTGGGAGGTGGAGGATGACAATGTTGCACCATTGTTGGCACGATACAAGCCACAAAAACACTGAACAATCTATATCCAAGATCCTTGGATTCTTATCATCAAATTTTATTGTCTAACTGTTTAATTTATCTTAGTCAAATCAATATTACGCCTATATCCTTCCTGATTTAACGAGTATCATTGCATGATATGATTCTCTATGATGCACTATGGCATATAAGCATGTGAAATTTTGCTGAATGAGAAAGCATGGTATGTAATCAAAGTTGAAAGAAAGAAGCAAACCCAAGCCTAAAGGGCATCATGAAAAGCAAAGCCAAAGCACAATCTATGAAGCCTTAAATCCTATAGGCATTCAAAAGACATACCAGGGGTGAACAAAACTCGGTCCAAAATCGATTAAAGCGATCAAATAGACCAAATACTTTCTCCCATTTGAGACGTATAACTGTCTTTCTTTCTACATAAATCTGGGATATTCTTTTCTTCTCTTGAAAATGAAAAAGGGTTATGGACAACTAATCGCTTTTGCGTCTTTTTCAACATGTATATCTTACACCAAGCAATACCCTTTTCTTTTCATATTTGAAGAGTTCCGTTTTTTCTTCTTGGTATCAGAACAAGAACCTCAGCAGGTCTAATTCTCCAAACAAGCAAAAAAAATGGCATTGAGCAACAATGTGATAGGTGCAATCAACTTCGTTGCCATGCTGCTCTCGATTCCGATTATCGGTGCCGGAATCTGGCTCGCCAATCAACCAGACAATTCATGTATGAAGATCTTCCAATGGCCCATCATAACGTTAGGGGTCTTAATCTTGGTTGTAGGTCTAGCAGGGTTTATAGGAGCGTTTTGGCGCATCCCTGTGCTCCTTACGGCTTACCTTGTTGCCATGCTCGTCCTCATCATATTGCTTGCATGCTTGGTTATTTTCATCTATGCTGTAACCATTAGAGGCACGGGCCACGCCGAACCCAGTCGGGCGTACTTGGAATACCATCTCGAAGATTTCTCGATATGGCTTCAACGAAGAGTCCGAAGTTCCTACAAGTGGGAAAGGATAAAAACATGTCTGAGCTCAACACAGATATGTCCTTCACTGAACCAGAGCTATTCATCTCCTATAGATTTCTTTAATGCTCATTTATCTCCCATAGAGGTTAGATTCTTCAACGTGTTATTATATTTTTATCCAAATTATAATCGAAAATTAAGTTTTATGTAATTCTAGTGATAGGATATTACTAATTAATTAATTTTATTTAATAAGTAAATAAGTAATTATTTTGTAAACATGTAATCCTAAAACTCTCTATAAGGTTTATGTTGTGGAGATAAATTTTGTAGGGATATTGAGAGAGTGATTTAAGATACTATGAGTTTTTATATAGATACCAGATTTTAGGATACATGGTATACCATGTATTTGTAATCTTTCATGATCTCTATGTTTATAATGGATTAATATTTTTCTCATCCGTAGAGATAGATAAGGTTGAATCACGTTTAAAAAGGGACGAGTCTACGTTATAGGTGGGATGGGCAATGGCCCCAACTTGATTGGATAATTACCTTTTAAGCCACTAGTAGTTTTAAAATCAATGTAGTTAAGCCTTCGTCTCTCTCAAAACCTTTTGGTATAATTATTTTTATGATACCATGAATTTTAAAATTAATGGAATTAAGTCTTGACCTAAAATGTTTATGGTGTAATTACTTTTTAAGACCCTTGAATTTTCAAAATTAATGAAGTTACCATTAACATCTTAATTTTTACGGTTTAGTTAATTTTTATGACCCTATTTACTTTGAAGTTAAACAATTTACCTACCTCACAGTTCAATCATGGCTTCGTCTTTAACATTAAATATTATCTTTTGCGCATGTATTATTTTATATTGATATTGTTCTAATTGTTTTTCCTCTTACGGATTCCTAACGATGTCCTAATCATATTTTAATCTATATCATTTTTCTTTTGTTGACAGTCCGGGTGCTGTAAGCCACCAACGGCGTGTGGTTACACAATTGTGAACCCAACAAATTGGATCAGCCCCATCAGCAACATAGCAGACCCCGATTGTGTTCGGTGGAACAATGACCAAGACCAGCTCTGCTACAGTTGTAATTCTTGCAAAGCAGGGCTGCTCGCAAATCTGAAGCAAGAATGGAGAAAAGCCGATATAATATTGCTTATAACTCTTATTGCTTTGATATGCGTGTATGTCGTAGGGTGCTGTGCCTTTAGAAATGCCCAAACCGAGGACTTGTTTAGAAAATATAGGCAAGGTTATTCGTGAGGGAAACAAGGTTATTTTAAAGAATAGGGACTAAAACCCCAAATTGATCGTAGTATAGGGACGAAAATCAGAATTCGATCATTATCTTTTCTTTTCATGTTTCATGAACTTTGAGTTGAAATTCAATCTAATATTCTCTGTTAAAGTTAACGGTGTTTATCGTTTATTTATTTTATAATCATTTGTATTTGATTCAAATATAAATTAATATGAGTCGGATAATGCAGAGGTAAGGATAATGCTTTTAATCCAGTTTGTTCAATTCATAAACGTTAGAATTCAAACATATGACTTAACTTAAGGGATCTAGTGTCTCATCCTACTGGATTAAATGGTCGTTTGCACTAGTAGATGCATTAAGGGTTGAGGGTGGACACGTGACCACCCGAAATTCGATTTTTTTTTTCTGATTAGTCATCTATTTTATTGATTGTGTACACCCTGAAAATTTATTGTAACCACCTTGAAATCTGAAATTTCTTTGATTATGAACTATTTTATTGATGACGCCCACCTTGAAATTTTGTTTATGTCTATCTCGTTCAAAATATTTATATCCTTAACATATATGTGTTTACCCTCAAAAATATTTTTGGATCCGTTATTGGTTGTTTGTGATAGTGTTTAGCTTTAATAATAGATAATGATGTTTGTATATATTTATCATTTTTTTCCAAGTTGTCTTATCATATTTTAACTATTTCCTTGTACAATCCTATGCTATTTTTCAGTGTTTAATTTGTACATTTTAATGATTTTAGAAAAATATTGATTAATATAATATAATCAATTCTAATTTTATAAGTTCATTTCGTAATTTTATTGCATTCCCTCTATTCAACAAATATAACAACTACTAATTTAGAAATTCCATCCGTCTCAACGACATTCTTGTAATTAATGTTAGGGTAAATTATGCATTTAGTATCTAAACTATCGGTTTTGGTCTATTTTAACATCTAAACTTTTAATTTTTCAATACAATACCTAAAGTTTGGTTTTTGTTTCATTTTAGTATCCGCTGTAAAAAATTTTAGTTTTTGTTTCATTCTAATACTACCGTTTCAGAATTTAAAGTAAGTTTTGATTTTTTTTTGAAAGTTTAGGTATTAAAACAGGCAAAAACTGGTAGTTTAAGTACTAAACGCGTTAAAAATTTTAACGACCACGTACTAAAATGAAATGAAAACTAAATGTTAGGTATGATATTAAAAAATTGAAAATTTAGGTACTAAAAGGGACCAAAACTGATAATTTAGATACTAAACACTAAGTTTACCCTTAATATAAAGTATGTGGAGGGCAGTTGTTAATAAAACCATGCTAAAACGGGCAGTAATAACTAATAAGCCTCATCGATACAATCTATTACACCGGTTTTGACTTTCAAATGAACAAATTTCAGTCAGCGTTGACTATTTTTCCGGTCCTGAAATTTAGTTAGTCACAACACAGTATTATGGTCAACGGTGCTGACATCATTAATTGGTTAAACCAACTCCAAACTAACCACAATTTTTTTATAAATCAGAGGTAAGAACAAAGTATTATGGTCAAAGTAATTAATAAAATCACGTGCTTATTCCTAAATAAAAACCGTATAAAATTCCAAAGCAGGTTAGAGGGGGAGGTACTTCCATAACCGATGATTGCAAAAAAAAAAAAAAATGAGACCTCAATCATACACACACCATGTGGGGTTATAAATGAAGGGGTTTGCATCACTAATATATATATATATTTAACAACTTTGGCATTTCATAAAGGGACCTAACATTTACATCACTACAAAGGACTCTCCAAACAATCGACATATTGTGTTTTCTTTTATCGAGGCACTCTTGACGTCCTTACTCTCGAAACGTCGTTAAAAACAATGTTATAAATCTATTTTGTTATAGTGATTTGTCAATAAAAATACTAAATTAATCCATAATAGCGTCACGTGTGGCCGGTAACATTGCATTATAAAGGACATTAGGGAACTATTTTGGCGAACCGATCACCCAAGGACAAATGAATTAATTATCAATGTGACATTAGTGGGGGTGCTAATGGACCCACGCCCCGTTTGCTAGCAAAATATAAGCATCAGATAAGGATTATTTAAAATAAATAAAATGACAGGGACCCTATTTTCATGTGTATTGTATTCAATAGAAGGCAAGTGATGAATCAAAAGGTCTATAGGATCAAAGATCATGCATTTGGTATGCATTTCATATAAACATCAACACCCATCAAATCAATTCAAAAGGGTGGTTAAGTCATATCCCCTTTCGCCACTTCCCTTTAAGAACTTTATTTGTTTTTATCCTATATGACCATATTGTGATATCCTACAAAGCTACCACCACCGCAGCCACTAACACACACTCACACACACACACATATATATATATATAAAATTGAAATCAAAGTAATTAATATTATATCAGTATTGTCATTGTGTTTATATTTATCGTATCAATTATTGATGAAAAAAATTATTTTGTAAGTTGATATTTTCTGATAAGAGAAAAGGTAACTTCGAGAAGAAGATAGACGATGTGCCCTTAGTCTAGAGAGAAGAGGTCTCCTTCTTCAATCTTTCCTCGAGGTATACATACATTGGTTATAGGGGTGTTATACTTACAATGATAATAGATGTTAAATTTATTTTAAGTGAATTTTTTTGTGAGTTTGTCAAAGATTCATTTAATTATAAGTAGGGATGGCAATAGATCTTAAACCTAATTTAAATTCGTAGATCCAAATATGTTTTATAAGGTCTGGATCCTAAATTTTTGGGCCTGATAAATTTGAACCGGATCTAAATCCTCTTACTGAAGTATAAATCTGAGTTTGAATCTAAAACTATGATACCAAATATGAACCCATTTACCCGTTTATAAAAAAACATACCTTTAATTTTAAAATATATATAAATTACATAATAAGATTTATATATATATATATATATTCTATAGAGGAAAACATCAAATAGTCGGAAGATTTATGCAATAAAATGAGGTGCGGTTGTCGAGATGATCTTTAGGAGACGTCTTTGAAAGTATAAGACCATCCTATAGGACATGTCGGATCAATAGAATTATATCTTTTTAAGAATTAATAAAAATATATAGAATTAATTTAAAAGTAATTATTTTAATAGTGGTATTTTGTTAGAAAAAAAAACATGTAACCGTGGCCTCCGACTAAAAGCAACCGCCGGCGCAGCATCTGCTGACTTAAATCATCAAAAATATCAAACTGTGTGGAGGTCCCACTCAACGAGCCGAGCTTACTAAATTGCAGTGTCTTGGAGCTGATTTTTGAAAGCCCAGATATCGATCATCACATTCAAAACCAGTTACGAGATCCAAGGGTCAGAATTTGTATGACAGTTTGGGGGGGCCATTCAAAAGAAAATACCCACCTGGCTATGCCTTTCTCACCAAAAACAAAATAAACGACCTTCGCTTACCCAAGAGGCGGCTGACCCATTCATCCTTCCTTCCAAGATTCAACGCACCTACACCTAAAGTTTTTATAGGGTAAACTACATGTTCTGTATTTAAATTATTAATTTTAATTTATTATAGTATTTAAATTATTAATTTTAATTTATTATAATATTTAAATTTTTAATGTTTTCAAAATCATACGTAAAGTTTAATTTTTTTATTTTATTTTAGTAAACTACTGTTAAAAACTTAACGCATTTAATAAATCGACTATCAATTTTGGTTCGTTTTAATATATAAATTTTAATTTTTTTCCAAAACTTAACGTTAAAGTTTGAGCATATACTAAAATGAAACAAAAACTAAACTTTAAGTATGTTTTTGAAAAATTAAAAGTTTATGCATTAAAATGAACCAAAACTGATAGTTTAGGTATTAAACACGTCATTTACCCCTTTTTATATGTTATTACACCTTTTGAATTATTAAAACTTTATGTATTAAAACAAACCCAAACGGATAGTTTAAGCATTAAACACGTCATTTACCCCTTTTTATATGTTATTACACCTTTTGAATTATTTTATAATAAAATTTGTTTAACATATATTAATCAATTAATTAATCAAATATTAATAATTATGTTATAAAATATTCTAACTAATGGAAACAAATTTATGAAATTAACATAAATCAAATTATCTCGATTGTTAAAGGAATGATTCATAAAGGTCTCATGTTTAAGCCCTAGAAATCGTAAGTACTTGGATATTTAGTATCAAATAATCAAAAAATAAACTCATATCTCACACGTGCCACACACCAATTGCATATATGGGGCCACCGATAGATAAAATCAATTTTATTTTTATCTTGTAGGACCTGCCACCTTATTTTATTTACATTTTAGCTACACTAATCTTTTTATATTCTTAAAAGGGTAACTTTTATCTTATATAATAGATTTAATTTATCATTTTCGTTTTTATCGTATTTTTAAATAAATTTAACCCTCGAAATTACTTAATTGCATCATTTTATACTCTACCTCTACTTAAATCCCTAAATTATAAACTCTAAACCCTAAATCATACCCCATAACCTCTAAACCATAAAGCTTAAACCTTAAACTCTAACTTAGAGTTTACAATTTAAGGTTTTAAGTTATAAATAAGTATAGAATGATGCAATTAAATAATTTTGAAGGTTAAATTGATGTGAAAATATGATATGAGCAAAAGTGATCAATTAAGTCTATTACAGAGACAAAGATGACCCTTAAGTCTTTTATTTTCTTTTTCATCACATAGCAAAACAAATTTAATAAGAAATTCAAACACATTGAGTTAATAGTTAAATAAAATAGTACAATGTTTTAAGATTTTGACTTTAAATAACCACCTCTGTAAAATATTATTAATCACTAAAAATATTTATAAAAAAATACTATTTTATAATCATCAAAATTATAAAAAATCAACCTTATTTCTTTAAAATGAAATGTTTATTAGGGTTTCATGTCAAAAAGGAAAAAAAACAATTTAAAAAGCAATCATACAACATGCAAAGTACAATCATTTTATTTATAAACACTTCATCCTAAATAACAAGGTAACATTTACATATTTTATCCATTTCCCTATCCCCAACCAAGAAAAAGCAAGCAAACAAAAGCCCCTACTTTTATCTTACGAAAAACCTATAATGTAAAAGAAAGAAAAAAGTGTGTATATATATATATGTGTGTGTGTGTCCCTATAATTTAAGGCTAATATTGTATGATTAGTCCTCCCATTGGGGCTCGGTGGGGTATACCCTTTCTACGTTTGGTACTTCTGTAATTAACCGAAGTCGGAGGGGGTGTTGAAGGACTAAAGCTTCTCACTTGGTTCTTGTTAGACTTCCCATGGCTACTGCTGCTGTATGAATCCTCAGAGTCAGATTCCATTTCCATTTGCCTCTTCTTCTTCTGGAAATTCTTTGATGCCCCAACTATCTGCATTTCAGTCTTACATACTTCAGCAATACACAAAAATTGTCGAACTATGATTTTAGTCCCTCTATTGTGATCAGAGGATCAAATTAAAAGTATAGGGACTAAATCTAAAATTTGATATTTGTTGAAAGAACAAGATCATAATTTGACCCCCTTAAACTTTCAAAGATCCTACAGTTTCTCGGCTACCAAACAGCACCATTTACCTTGCAACCAAGAGAGCAGAAGCGGAAGGAATCCACAAGGCTTCGAACACAGACCTCACAAGTGTTGATGACACCTTTTCCAGGCCTTGGTTGAGGCCTTTCGTTGAGGAAGACAACCTTAGCACTGTTTATTACATACGTTTGAACTCCAGATATGTCCAGGTACCTTTGTATCTCCGATACTCTTATTACATCATGGTACGATGATCTCCTTATCTGTTAAACCAGAGTAAATTGCATTAGCAGATGAGAAAATGGGTTTGGAGATTGAGTCAATGCCTGCTTGGATGCCGAGAAAATGTGTAGGAAAAGAAAATTGAACAGAAGCCCAGAAACGGAAAGCAGAAACCCAGAAATGGAATGAAATAACGGGATTCCCTTCGTTCCATAAAAGGAAATATAAAAAATTTCAAATGGAAAAAAGGGGGTAAATTACTAAATTCAAACAATGGCCGATCACCTGAATATAACGATGATGCCTGTGATAAGCCAGACAGCAAGAACAGAGGGAGCCATTCATACAATCTAAGCAATACATATTACATTCGCTCTTGTGAGAATCGATATGAAGCTTGCATTGAATGAAGAATTGCTCTCTCAACAACGGTTTCAGCCATGGCGGCCACCTGTTGTCTTCTTCATCAGGTCCACCAGCTCCCTATAAAAAAAAACACGTTAAACATCATCATTCCATCAACACACATTTCCAATGAATACCCATATAAAAAAACCATGAAAAAGGAATGTTTCTTTCTCCAGGAGAATCAATAATACCATGATTCTTCTGTTCTTCGGCTTGATTTCACGGATAGTGGATCCTTGATTTTCGATCGTCAGCTTGAAACTCAAAGAAACAATACTCTTTTCGTTCTTCTCAAGTGAGATTCTAGAGAGAGAAACAAAAACAGAGGAGATATAGAGAGCGAGAGCGAGAGCGAGAGAGAGAGAATGAAAAGGGAGAAGGGACGTCAGAGAGGTCGTTCTTATCTATACAAAGTCCACACCCGAACCTATGTCCGAAGCTGAGGTTCGTCGTTGAGAGATGTGTTGAAGTTCAAGGAAGTGAGCGTCGGCAAAATTCCTCCTTCTTTCATTTTCATTCACTCTTTGGTCTTATCATTTTATGTATATATTATATAAAGCAATATGATTATTTTATGTGTTAATAGACAACCATTATTGATGGCCAACATTTTTCTATAGATTCAATTCATTTCAATGGTGTTTTTTTATAATCATATTGGGCTGTGTGCTTCTGATTCTCTCTCTTCTCTTCTTTTCATTTTCATGTGATGAGAGGATGGATATGAATCTATTTTCAATAGTGAATTAACATCAAATATTTTTTTTATTAATTGAGAGTAATTATACTAATATTTTTCTTAATTACTTACAATTAGATTGGGTAAACTTGACTCGAATCCGATTATCCTAACTGATTTACTAGACTCAATACTCGATATTAACTCGAACATGATAATCAAATTTGATTCGAAACCCAAACCATACCCGATCCAAAATTTAGCTGACCCAATATGGACTCATGTCCAATTTGACCCGAATCGAAAACAACTCGAACCGAAAATCTATGTATACTTAATTAGACTTATAATTGAGTTAAACTTAAATGATAAGATTAACAAACAAGAATACATATTTTTACAATAATATATCGATTGCTATATATATATATATATATATTTGATTAGACTAATAATCAATTCAATTTGAATTTACTTGATCCAAAAGTTGACCAAAATCGAAAATCAACCAATCTAATATTGACCCGACCCGAAACTTAATTGATTCAATATTAATCCGACCCAAAAATAAACCAAATCGATATTGGTATAAACCGAAAAATAACCAATATGATAGTCACCCGACTCGAAAATTGACCTGACCTGACCTGATTTACCATACACCTGAACTAAATTCGAACCAAACCCGATCCGACCTGAATAAAATTAAACCAAATATAATCTAGACCCGGAATGACCCGACCCAAACCCGATCCGAATGACCTGTTTGCCACCTATATTGGCCATATATACATATCTTGCATAAATAATTATTTGAATCTTAATTTATAGGAAGAACGATATTTCTTTTAACCACTCATGTAACTTGATTTATTTTTAGATATAATTTTTTAATTTAACTTATAAAAATATATAATAAATATTCTAACATGATTGTAAGATATTTTTCTAATATGTATAAATGGAATTTTAAAGTAAATAAACTTGTAATTTTGAACTGAACGTAAAACTATTGAATTTAAATGGATTTAAATAAAAAAATAAAATAAAATGATCGAAACAAGTAAAAGATGTGAGCTGAACTTAAGTGATTAAAACTCAAAAATAATCTGAAGTTATTGTGACTCGACCATCAAAACGAAACATAAAATAATCTAAATCTTTAATATCTCATATGGTATTTTTAACGGTCCGTCATGATTTAATTCATTTTAAGTAACGGAACAAAATGTTAAACATTAAGTTAGAACGAAACAAACGTTAAACACTAAACTAAAAAAGCGAGTATAGATTAAACACCTTTTATATACTTAAGCCAATCTAATTTTATTGATTATAGTAGAACAAAATGCTACATAAAGGAAAGAATTAACATCACTAATTCAGTTGATTGAATATTTATTAATATTTTAATAAAAATAAAAGTTTAAATAGAAAACCTAATTTACTAGGGCTTGGGCACTTAAGTAGTAATAGTTTAGAATAGGGATGAGACATGTTGATATCAAGGCCGGCCCTAACAACGTGGACTTCGGTTTTGGTCGGCAAAACCATGCACTCAAATAGAGTTGTTGCACATTTAAATTCAATACTTATACGAATCAATTGATTTGGTAATTAAAAGATTTATCGTTATCATTTAAGATTTTTTGTTTTGAGAATCGTCTATATAAAAATATAAACGTTCATTATTAAATAATTAAAAAAAATTGAACATATATTATCTCATTTTCATATAAAATAAATTCAATACTTGATGTTAATCAAGAAATTTTCGTTATGATGTTAATTAAGATACAATTAAAAAAAATTATTTTATCATATCGTAGATTGTTGATAATCATTTTTTGTGACTCACACTAGTGAGGATACAAAGATAATTTAAGAAATGGGTATGAACCAAGTGATTTTCGTGATAAAAAGATTGTTATTATTCTTGAGGTTAAGAGTTCGGGTATTATAGATGTCAAGAGTGTGATCGTTCAATGTCAAAAGGTTGAAAGTTATCTTTAAACATATATTGTTGTGTATTTATTTTAGATTAATTAGAAAAAAAAAGAGTTTTTTTTATTGGGATTTTGGAAGGGTAGTAAACTAAGGACAAATTTACTAAAAAGATTGGCATGTAAATCGTGCTTGAATAATGTGAAGATTTAGGTAAAATGACTAAGCGATCCCATCAATCATTGTTAGGTAATAGTATTGGAGTTAATTTAAGGCTGCCAATTAGTTGATGGAAGGCCTAATTAATGAATAATCACTTTCAAATGCCAACCTAAACTACCAAATTGGCAATTTGCTTTTTTTTCATTCTATTTTTTAAAAATAATTATTAGTATATGATTTATTAACCATTTAATCCATATTAGATTTTATATTAGATTTTGCGTAGATCCATCATAAGACATTCCTAACTCAATTTATTTTAGGGTAAACTACGTCAATAGTCACTATTGTTTGGGTAATTGTTCATTTTTGTCACTTATGTTTGAAAAGTCACAAATCGGTCATTAACGTTATCGTTTGTTACAAAATAGTCACTCGTCACTAACAGCCGTTAACGAATCGTTACTGCAGTAACGAAATGCTGACATGTCATGTTAAACCAATTGACTCAGCATATTTGACCAACTGTTTGATTCATTTTCTTCTTCTTCACAAACGCTTTCCCATCTATCTCTGCAAAAATCTCAATCTTAATCTTGTAACAGTATCTTCCTTGTGGATGATCCACCAAGCACCCAGTTTTGCAGCTCTTGGAGAACATGCAACTTACAACAGTATAAAGAACAACAAAAACGAAGTACATATTAGCAATTAAAATCTCTTCCAAAGCCAACAAAAACACACCATAATCACCTTCCCTACGATAACCATAAGCCCTCACAACAACCTGAATTCTCCATTCCAGAAGAAACCAAAGCCAAGTTACAAATCACAATCACATTTACTAGAATCATCGAATATACAACAACACGACAACCGACATGAAGGTGAGCCAATTGGGAGACAAAGAGAACCCGAATCCATTAATAAAATGGTACTCGAAGAACAAAAGGGAGAAAGCTGTTGAATTTGCAGCCAAGAGTAGAAAGAAATTGCATACGAAAGTGGAAAACATGAGATTGTAAAGAGATGAAATTGAAGAGGACATTGTAAAGATAATGGAGGCTTTGGATAATATAAAGAAGGAAAGGGTGAAAGGGACAGCGAATATTGAAGAAAAGGTCTGGGAAATCTTGAGACTGAGGACATTGAAGAAGTTGGACGACGACGGGAACTCAGCAGCCATGAAAACAACTTTCAGGTGGTTGTGGATAGCCGGGAAGAAAGGGGAATGGAGGACGAAAAATTGGGAAAGGAGGATGGAAAGTGCATACGGGAAAGCGAGGACAACATCGGTTGTGGTGAAATAATGATAGTCTTGAAGGAAAGTGTATATTGATCTTCTCATGATGGTGTGGCTCTTCAGAGTTCTTGAGCTATCTTCCATAACGGATTCAAAGAGAGGAGGATGAGAAGAAGAGTCAAACCGTTGGTAACGTGCCACGTTTCGAGTGATCATTTTGTAACAAACGATAATGTTAGTGACCATTTTGTAACAAACGATAATGTTAGTGATCATTTTGTAACAAATGATAATATTGGTGATCGATTTGTGACTTTTAAAATATCAATGGTGAAAACGAACATTTACTAAAACATTAGTGACTATTCACGTAATTTTCCTTTTATTTTATTCTAATTTCATCTTTTCTATCTACGCTAAATTTGTTAAAAAATCCAGGTATCCACTTTATTGGATATTTAATTTGAATAGATAATGTCATGCAATTTGTTTCGTTATTTAAGTTTAGATACGTTATTATTATGCAATTAAGTGGATACAATAACATCAGTGTGACTATTATACACAAGAACTCTAAATTTACTTGAGCCTAACTTATGCATTTTTGGGTCCCAGCTCGTTTCGAAGCCATGGCTTGGGCACTTATGATTTTATGGCAACGAATCCAAATGTCAATAAATCCCAGACCCCTTGTTTATTACCTTACATTGTGCCTTTTGGCTTTTGCTCATAATCAGCTAGATCTCTTCTTCATCGCCAATTGCCATGGCCGAAGCCGAACAAGTCCTCATCTTCACCTACGGGACACTGAAACAAGGCCACGGAAACCTCCACCTAACCCAACATCTCATCCACCAAAAAGAAGCCGTCTTTTTGGGTCCTCACTTCACCCACCAACCCCACCCGCTCGTCACAGGCCCACACGGCATCCCCTACCTCATCAACCTCCCCAGCCATGGCCACCGAGTCAAGGGCGAGTTATACTCTGTTTCGGCCACTGGACTTGTCCGACTCGATCAGCTCGAGGGGACCGGCATCGGGCATTACGAGAGGTTGCCGATTCAAGTGTGTAGAGAAGGAGACGAAGAAGGCGTTTTGGTTGGGGCGGAGGCGTATTTCGCTCATAGGAGCTTCGGGGAGAGGCTTTGGGAGAGGAAAGGGAAAGTGGGTTTGATCGAGTTTGGAGAAGAAGAGGGAAAAGGGTACGTTAGGATGGAGGATCATGGGTTTGATTTTCTTGGTGATATTACTTCGTTTCTTGCCAGTAATGACTGATTGTGTTTGGTTTTCTTTTGAATCGAATGATTGTATGATTAGTGAAACAGTTTGGTTTTATGTGAGAATGCTTCTCTCCCGGCTGTAATTAAAATCTTCGGAGGATCCAAAAGTATCGAATCTCCAATCTCTTCTCTGTCTTAGAACCTCTGGGGAACCATAAAGATTATCTTCTAACATACCGCCCAAACGAGGACGTGGAGCCTTCACAGTCTTATCCTTCTAGAAGTCGCAATCTTTCGACATGATCAGTCTGATGCATGTATACTCTATAAGACGCTATAGTGAGCGTATGTACACTTTAAAATTTACATTCTATGTTGTTGTTTATTTTATTAATAGTATTCACCTTGAAATTTTATTTATGTCTATCTTATTTAAAAAAAATCTTTAGTATCAATACATATATATGTACCCATCTTCTTGAAGTATTGGTTCACATGACATACCAACGAATCTATTACCCCTACATCTCATTTATATTGTTAATTGTTGATTTTTCACGTAGTCATATTGATTATTCTTCTCTCTTCACTTATCATGTTAATATACAAATAGTCATAATGATTCTATGCATGAAACTAGTATCAATAGTCACATAGTCTCTCGATTAAGATCAAGAGAAGGATCAAAACCTTTGTTCATCATTCTTCTCCCTTCTAGTTTCTCACAGAGACAAAAAAAATTGATACCGACAAACGGTTGTTTTTTTTATTGACTGTCATTTTTCATTTAAATCAGAAATGGTTAGGCACTTATTATCGTCGTGATTCATTTATTCTTGTCAACCATTTGTAATTAGAGAGATGTTGTCTTGACTAAAATTTTCCTATAATTGATACGATAATTCATTCATCGGCGAGAGTGGCCTTATTACATGCAAACTATTAATTTATCGAATCTTGTTTTGAATCTAATGAGTAAACTATGTATTTAGTACTTAAATTAGCAATTTTGATCTATTTTAGTACCAAAATTTTAAATTTTTTTCAAAACTATATCTAACGTTTAGTTTGCATTTCATTTATTACTCACTATTAAAATCTTGACATATTTAGCACCTAAACTACCAGTTTTGGCCTGTTTTAGTACATAAACTTTCATTTTTTTTTCAAAATTTAATGTTAAATTTTGAATGGAGATACTAAAATGAAACAAAAGCTAAAGTTTTTAAAGGCAATGTACTAAAATGAAACAAACAAATAAACTTTAGATATGATTTTAAAAAAGTTGAAAATTTAGTTACTAAAACGTATCAAAACTAATAATTTAGGTACTAAAAGTATAGTTTAGATATAGTTTTAAAATATTCTTTTGATGAGTCATAAACGATAGGATTGAGTGTATGGAGTAACCCTGCTAGCTCGAATTTTAGTTAATTCATCTCTCATCAACTTGTCCGAGAAATTATTGTATGGACTCGATTTATTATGTGGTTTAGGGTTTTAGTGAATTAAATTTATCAATTTTAAAATAATTTTTAAATAAGTACATACTCCTTATTTACACATAAGAAAAAGACGAATATTCACCTTGAAAAAAAAGAGATGGACAAATATTATTAATGAGGATCACAAATGACGTGGTGAACTGATTCCATTTAGTAAATTTTTGATATATTCTTGTTTTGATTAATGGATTTATGATTTTTAGATAAAAAATAAAAAAGTTAATTAAAGTATTATGAAAACAAATTATTTAAATTTAAAAGCTCAACCGAATATACGAAATTGTTTTCCTATTATATAAAATAAATGGAAATGGGTTGTTGGATAACTATTATACTCATTTGTGTCCCAATGTTAGTCTCACATGATAATTTATTTGTTTTACAAACAAATCTTGAAACTGGCCATTTCCAAAACGAGTGTTATAGGATTTTGTATTATTAGAAGAATAATTATTGAATACAATAGACTTAATAATCTCGGAATAAATTAAGTTAAAATACAAGGTATTTCTAAAATGGAGAGTCCACTTAGTCAAAGTATGTTACATAATATTATAAACTCTAGTAACAAAACACACTTTGTAATGTGAATTAGCATCCAATACCCTACGAGCTTCTCAAAGATGATAACCCAACGTGCACAAGTCATCCTCCTGTCGAGACATCTTGTTGACTACTAGTATTGAGCCCGATTCAACAAAGATTACATGTGTCCACCTATACTCACTTGCTAAAAAAAATAATGCCTTCAAACATGAATCTCCGAAAGTCCAGTTTCAACACATCTTGATGATGATGTAGCCACGTGATTAAGTATTTGACCAATGAAACCATATATTATTTATTTTTAAATATTATAATTTTTTTATTTTAATATAAAATCTTATATCAATTCTTAAATAATACTAACAATTGTTATTATTTTTAGGTTGTATTTTAATGCCCTTACATGAATCTCAATAAAATATAAAAGTATTCCAAATGGTCCAATTGTATACAACCAAAGGTGATGGCTTTTTTCGGTGCCTTCAATAGGTAATCATTTCAACCACCGGATGTGGGGTGGGTATTTGTGTAGAAACCCAGCTACATCCCTTTTCTTTTCATTTTCCCCCTCGAGGACGAGTAGCGTCCTTCGTGGTAACCTAACGACTATTAATAATTTTTACGTTTTCATTTAAGTCTAGATACGATATTAATAAAAATTTCGAGATTAAAAGAATTAATTTGATATACTACTCCGTAAATAATTTCGAATGCATTGACAACAAATTGTCACAAAACAAGACCTAACTCTATGAGACTAATGATCTTTTTTGATATGAAGATACGTCCTTTTGAATACAACACGAAATACCAAAGTATTATAATGATAGATAAAACTGTACCATAAAAGTAGAAGAACAAACGTAGCATAAAAATGGAAAAAAATCAGTTCCAAAACGTTTGCATTTTACTACTCGTTCTTCTCATAAGATTATTTTTTTTTCATGAAATAACTCAAAATCAACGAAATTAAACAAAAAATCTATTATTTTTTAGATGTTTGGAGGCTTTACTATATTTATGTATTTAGAGTGTTTGTTTGAAAATTTGAATGATGATAAGTTTTATTTTGACAAACGAACAACATACATCAAAGCTAGTCTCATCGAACAATCCATTGAAAAATGTTAGAGTATTAATACATCAAATTTTTAAATGGATCATCGATTGTGAGTTTCATAGAAAACCAATCATAGGAGAATAAAGATGAGTGAAATACGAATGTTTTAATATCAATCTTGCCGTGAAATATGATTGGTGGCGGACAATGATTGGTTTTCGGTGGTATTCGAAAAGTGCAATACCAAAAATGTAAATTGCTTAGAAGTTCAACGGAAAATTGACACACCCATAATGTTTAATGCTTAAAACGACGTTGTTTTGGGAATCAATAGTTATCACTTAAACGATGGTGTTTTGGTGTAGCGGACCACATCAACAATAGTTAGTCTTAGTCATGTCATCATTCTGTCACTGACTTAACGATGGAGTGACTAATCGAGTGTAAAACTAAAATTCAATGTTGTGATTGATAAAAATAAAAGTTCAATGATAGAAATGAGTCAAAGAACAAATTTCATTGATATCTGTAGTAGTTTACCCTTATAAATATATGTTATTGTTGTACAGTCTCTTAAATATGATATATAGGAAATAGATTTTAGATGATTATTAAATTTTTTATTTAATAAGTTAGATTCAATCTATATTAATGTTTGATTCACATGTTTGATTTGAGTGGAGTTTTTTTTAGTCGAACCGAGTCGAAGAAATCGAAATTTCGTATCGAGTCGAATTTTGCTCACCCATAATACTTAGGACTCTAGATGTAATATGTTAGTTCTCTTTCGATTAAAAGAAAAAAGAAAATTAATTGTATGATTTTGATGTTTTAAAAATTCAATTCAAATATTAATTTAGAATATTGATCACAATTTGGGGACCTAGGGTCCAATTAACCCATTGCAAAGGGCTAGGCCGGCAGATCACATGAGGGGTTTTGAATTAAATCCGTCGATTGTAAAGGGTAATCTCACCTTCTCACAAAAAAAATCAAGGAGTAGGGTTGTAAGTGAAATGATACAAATCGTAAGATATTTGAGATTAATTTAGTCAAAGCTTGATAAATATTCTATTTGAATGGATTCAAATCAAATTTAAGTTCGACTCGAATTCTTAACGAGCATAAACGAGTTACTTGATGTTTGACTTGAAAAACTTGCGAGTATAAGATTTTTATGTATTTAAGGTTCAAATTTGAGTTTGAGTTTGAAGCTTCAATTAAGATAAGTTTAAGGTTTTTTTTCATTTTCGAGTTCGAGTCGAACTTAAAAATTTTAGGCTCACAAGTTTTCGATTCGAATCGAGCTCGACAATACTCGTACTCGACTCGACTTGTTTATAACCCTATCAAGGAATGGAGCAATTACAAGTAGAAACCTAAACCTACATACAATTCAAAGGAAAAGGGAGTCGTCTTCTATAATTAAATACGTGAGTCAGTAGCGGATCTAAAAATATTTTTTTAGAATGTATACGTATGTACTAATAATAGAAATTTTTCGTACAATATGGATACAAATAAAAATTTATAATGGATACCACCAATAAAACAGACAATTAATATAAAAAATTAAATTTTAAGATAAATACATATCCGCTGTCCATCCCGAAGAATACGTACATCCGTTACTGTGAAGAATATGGGGGTGGAAAGAAAAAGGATCCACTATCGAAGCAAAGTGAGATGCAGTGGACCCACTAATGGAGGGATATGAGCTTATTGGAGGTGCTATACTGCATGTGCTTTCCCACTACTCTCATGCATGCGCCGTTCTTGTTTGTGTTTTGTTCAGCAATCTTTGAAACGAAGCAAAATTTTCAGACCTGAAAGTGCAAACAGATGATAATGGCTTCCAGATAGTTGTTAACTCATTTTGCTTAAGAAAATCATCGTTCGATATGATAAAATCTTAACTCGGAACCAAGATTTTATGTTAGGGGGCGACCGCTCTCATCCGCCCTCGCGTAGGTGCATCCCTGCTTGAACCCAACATTCTCCTGATCGTATACATGGAGTACAGAAGAGACCTCAAAATGGTTATGAAATCGTATAATTTAGCACTATGAGTTAATGGTGTAGCATTGGCAATTTAGTTTTGGGTGACATCAATTTAGGTTTAAATTTTTTAAATGATTTAGGGTGGTCCTTGTTTGATTTATTTTTAGTAATTTGTTTGAATCATTTTAGATAAAGTTAATGAAACAATTAAATGATTATATATATATTGAATATTTAGGATGATTAAAGGTTAAATTTTTCTTAATGGGTCTAGATTATATCTTATTTTTAAATGTACCTATACAAAATAGTTATTGCACTCAATTGAAAATGTAGTAATATTAATTACTATATTTGAATTATATTATATTATATTATATTTAAGTCCATTCGGGTTAATTTCATGGTTTTTTTTTTGTCTTTGAGGGTCACATAAATTGGTTTCTGTTCATTTTGGTTTTTAAGAAAAAAATGTAAGTAAGATTTGCTTAATATATGATGGATAATAGCATCAAATCCACAAGCCTAGTTAAGATTATATAACAAAGAATTAAAGTTGCATTCCTTGTTTAGTGCTTGGTTGGAGAGCACCGAATGTCACAGTGATAGAATATATATGTGGATGTATGCAGAAATTTATTTTAGGAATTACTGGTTTTTAAAATTTTCGGAGGATATAAATTTATAAAATTCTAAGGGACTAAAATAACTTATTAATAAAATATATAAAAAAATATTTAAATATATGATAATTTGAAATTTTTAAGAGGTCGACTATTCTCTGCTTTATTTGTATAAATGAAGAGGTGATAACTATACTCAATTTGCTAATTTTTTTCTCCACCAAACTTAGCTTCAATAATTGAGAATAATTGGCTGGATTTTCTAGATTAGACTCAAAAACAGGATTGGCCAATTTATAGAATGTGGTCACAGTCAGCTTGCCTCCTTTCACATGTCTTTGTAGAAATTAGATAAGCATTCCAAATATATCAATGAGATGATAGCATTATGAAATTCATTTGTTAAGATGATTATAAAATAGTATATGTTCTAATTACAATTTCAATCATTTGATAATGAATGTTCAATCACATTTTCAATCGTTGGTGTTCGAACCCATAATCTCTAACAACAATAATGAATCATCACATAACTATTTATTTACTTGAATCTATATTAAGCTATTGAATCTTCATTTCGTTTTCATTAATAATTGAAGAAGCATTAATTGTTTTCCTTACACTTTGCAGGAACATTACTACTGCGAATCCAAGCAGATAATTGAGATAAACAAGTTGCTACTAATTTTGTATGCAACAGGCACTATCAAATCGGCTTGATCGTACTATACTAGCCATTGGTCTGACTCAGACATCCATCAAGCCAGAAGGATAATGAAGAGTATGTTCGTTTGGGCGCCAGGAAAAGCACACTACTGGGTCTACTAGTGTGAGTTTAGACTTATGTCTTACTGCCGACTTGACCATCTTGTTTGTGGGGCTAACCACAAAGTTTCCTTTTGCATTTGCAAGCTAGTAGTGGCTCCTACCCCTTTCGATGTAGCAGTAACACACGCGTATTTCACTTTCGGACTCCAAACCAATCCTTATATATACCCACCTTCACTTGCACTTTAAACCAAGCTGATCTGAAACGTTCTAATGGCTATCAACATGATATTTGGTGCAGTTTTCTTTGTGTTGTTAGGTGTAGGCATTTGTTCTGCTACTAGAGCTCTCCTTACTCTTGATGAAGTATCTCGCCTCTCAGGTTTTGCCCAAGGTGGTGGCACCCTTGGTGTTGGCTTCCATGGAGGAGGTGGTGTTGGTAGTGGCTATGTAAATGTAGGAGAATCAGGAGTTTCTGGATATGTAGGTGGTGGTGGTGAAGTTAGTGCAGGTGGAGCTTCTGGATATGCAAGTGGAGGTGGTGAAGGAGGTGGAGCTGGTGGAGGATATGGAGGAGCAGGTGGATATGGGGGTGGTGGTGGCAAAGGTGGTGGTGGAGGTGCTGCAGGTGGATATGGCGGAGGAGCTTCGGGATATGGTAGTGGAGGTGGAGCTGGTGGTGGGTATGCAGGAGCCGGTGGACATGGAGGTGGAGGTGGTGGTGGAGGAGCTAGTACAGGTGGATATGGTGGTGGAGCTTCTGGATATGGCGCTGGAGGTGGTGAAGGAGGTGGAGCTGGGGCTGGAGCCGGTGGATATGGAGAAGTTGGTGTTGTTGGAGGTGGTGGTGGAGGCAGTGCAGGTGGATATGGAGGTGGAGCTTCTGGATATGGGAGCGGAGGTGGTGAAGGAGCTGGAGCTGGCAGTGCTGGTGGGTATGGAGGAGCCGGTGGACATGGTGGAAATGGTGGTGGTGGAGCTAGTGCGGGTGGATCTTCTGGATATGGGACAGGGACAGGAGGTGGAGGCGGTGCTGGCGGTTATGGAGGAGCCGGTGGACACGGAGGTGGTGGTGGCAGTGGCGGAGGAAGAGCAAGTGCAGGTGGATATGGTGGAAGTGGAGGAGGTGCAGGTGGTGGAGCCGGAAGTGCAGGTGGTTACGGAGGAGGTGAAACTGGGGATGGAAGCGGGGGTGGGGGAGCATATGGTGCAGGTGGGGCACATGCAGGCGGATATGGGGGCGGAGAAGGAGCGGGAGGAGGTTATGGTGGGGGTGCAGGCGGCCATGCTGGTGGTGGAGGTGCCGATGCATATGGTGCAGGAGGTGCACATGCAGATGCAGGAGGATACGGAAGTGGTGGTGGAGCTGGGGGTGGTGAAGTGGGTGGCTATTATCCTTGAGAGCACATTCTCAGCATTACAATGTGCTAAGAGTATGAATGTTGTTATCACTGGTATTAAACAAAAGTAAGTGTAATTTGTTACCCTAAAACCAAAGTGCTAAAGATCCGAATGAATTGTGTTAAAAGTTTGTATCACTTGATTTTCAATTTCTACAACTGATTTAACGTTCAAATGCATATTACCAATCTATATTTATATTTTTATTAACCTAATACAATTAGATGCACGAGGAATTATCATTACAACATGAAGCTACCTACACTGCCGATGGAACAGTGAGCTTTATTACTAAAAATTGCTGAAACAAAGCCATAGCCCATAGGGCCATAATACACGTAGCTAAAGAATGAGCTAATCATCATCGTATTTCTCCACCTCTTGCTCCTCCAGGATTCGTTTCAATGGTTCAGAACATATGACCAATGGAGTAGGCACCAAACAGGCCGGAGACTCACACGGCGTGTTCTCTCTGTTATCGATCATCGGACGCCCTTTGATCATGTCCATGTCCCCTTCCTCACTCATCATCACCATGTTGCAGGGTATTTTCTTAGCAAAGTAGACCCTGTTCTTTCTCAAATGCCGATCGCTGCATTTCGCAAAATCAACATAACCAAAAACAAATGAATCGAACACAACGTCGTGAGTACTCAAAACTCACTTGTCGAAAACTACCCAAGTTGCTCGATGGCCAATGATCCTTTCCACGACGAGCGACGGTAAAGGATAACCCACCACGATTTCCTTTTGTAACGTAACCTGTTGAATCGCAGTGATTACCCCAAACTGTGAAAATCAAACCGAAGGAGTTGAGATGCAATTACCCCATGGTCTCTGCAAAGGTTAAGCACTGCCTGCAGCTTCAGATATTTGGCATCATTCTCCCACTCGTTTCTTTCTCTTAGTAAAGATAAGTGCTCAAACTCCAGCATCCATACATCCTGCCAGGTCTTCGAAGACACTGCAACATTCAAATCAACTTAGTACCCGAACCATAAAACTCGATCTACTTCACTCGAATCCGATCGATCTCAAAAAGTGCTTGCTTACGGGGGATGTTCAGCCATGGCATGAAGCCCAAGAGGGTGACGATGTGACCGGAGGCACTGATGTTTTCGAGCAGCCACTCGAGCAGCTGGGTTGAGAACTCCTTGAGGCCATCCATAACTATGACAACATGTTTAGGGACGTTTACAGAGACTGGGGAAGTAAGGTCGTTCCCCAGTTTTGATTCTTTGGTCTTTAGACGCCTGCTGAACCTGGGCAGCGACGGAGAGTATTTACGTTGTCCTCTAAGTCTGATAAAAAGACCCATATCGGAAGGAGAAAGGGATTTGTGGACATGCCCTTGTTTTCCATTTATACTGTTTTTCTTTCCCATCGTTTGTCTGAAATGAAATGGTCGAATCCATGGACGGAACCCACGATAGTTGATGATAACTAGGTTGGTTTTATAGAATTGGTCGTTCGAGTGGATATAGAATACCACCAAGTGTCCCAAACTAATGAATTAGCCTTCTGAGGTTTCAATGCAACTTTCCAATTCCAATCACTAACATGTTATTGTCGATGACTACAAGATGTCGTTTATATCTTTTAATTTGAGTGAAGAGTCTAAAAAATTGACCGTTTTAAATGAAAAAAAGAATAAATCATCGTAAAAGAGAATGAAGAAAGAGAATTCGGATCGGGGTACTATAGAGGTAAGAATAACTCTCTCAACTCAATTTGCTGAATGAAAAACGACATTTTTAAATGAAGAAGGGAATAAATCATCGTAAAAGAGAATGAAAAAAGAGAATCAATTTGCTCCATTCGAAAATCCTAACAAATATTTGTTACAGAACTGATAAAAAAATATATTAAGTTAAATTGTATTTGAAGCAAAATGTTTATATTTTTAAATTAAATTTAATATCTTCTCACTTTTTATTTGTATAATTATTATATTGTCTGTTCTATTTATTACTCCTATTTACGGTAAAAAAAATAGAAATACAACTATTAAATGTGACATGCATTTCAACTTATTTATCATAGATGATTAGCAAAGTAATTTTATTGACAATTTCTTTATTAATTATTATATGTAATATATATTTTGTAAATATTTTATATAATTATTTAAATTAAATAAGAGAATAATAGTATTTTCAGTTCATTTATTCGCTACGTGAAATGATAACTCTTGCTACTATTATTGAGTATTTAAATTAAGCTAATATTTTATACAAATCTCGATTGATTGGAGGTTTTAAGTTAAACCTAACACTGATTCTGATACTTGTAGAGATGCGAAGACAGAGATACTATCTTTCATTTTTCATGTGGGGAATGTACAATCGATTTTGAAGATGTTATAATATAATTAGGTCTTTCAATTGATGGTCATGTTCCGATTGTTATGAATGTTGGAAGATGACACGATATGTTCTAAAAATTTGTTTGATAAGACTCCAGAAATGAATAGTTATGATTAAATTTATTTGACATGATTAAATCGTAATTTTGATACATTAAAAGATATTCGTTTAAAAGATAAGATAAAAATATTTACTCGAACAGATATTTAAGATTATCATCAAAATAAAATATACTAATTAAACCTATATTTAACGAGTTGTGATAAAACAAAAATAATTAGTTTGATAATATTTTTTATAGTTAAATGATAAAAAATTAAAATTTATTCTTCAAAAAGAACTTTGGGCCTGAAGCTTTTTTTTCTTATTTTCTCCACTCATCGAAACCCAAATTGTGCAACCCTTATAAACCCTGAGATCACTTGCTCCCATGTTTGTTTGAACCTTCCTCTGTCCTTAATTCTCTCTCCATAGCCGGAACTCTTCTCTTCTCCGATTACCTCTCGCAGTGGGTATTATAAGGAGGTGTTTCCTTATTAGGCGACCACCATGGAGGTTGACGAACAATCACTCTCACAATCAAGAACAAAAAAGTCCAAGAAGAGGAGCATTGAAGAGGGTCTCAATGAGGCATTGGAATCAGTAAAACATAATCCCGGAACAAAACATGAGAATTTGCAAGTCAAAATCCAACTTTTCCAAGAGCAATCAAACAAGATTCCACCTTTACTCGCCTATTTCCCATCTGGTTATAATCCTTGCAAAACCCAACAAGAGGAAGGAGGAGCCAACGAACCCAAGGTTAAAGTTTTCAGAAACATGGCTCAGAGAAAGAGTAATAGGCTTCAGGTTGTAGTTAGCCCTAGTGGATCGAATGTCGATTTTGTGGGATCGAGTTACACGGGTGAGGCTGCTGCCGCACAAGTTTGCAGGTACTCACTCGGTGTTCTTGATAAGGAAGCCGGGACCCTCAAAATCATTCCTATCGCTACGAATAAGGTAACATTTTCTGTGTATTGAAGTAAATTGTTCTTATTGCTGCTGCTTCATGTTCTTGCTTTCTCTGTTTTGTTTTTATGTGATGATGATTGAAAATGGAAACTTGAATTGTTTTACTTGCTCTGCTTTTGATTGTAGAAGGTCTATACCTTAATTTTTTTAGCTATATAATGGAGATTTTTGTGGTGTTATTTATCAATCCTTTAGTTATTGGAAGGGAAAAGAGGTGTGGAGAAGTAAGGGAAATCGTGTTAATTATGCTATTGAACAAGATGTTTCTTGTGGTTTTGGTTAATCTGTTGGCTTGTATGATTTTATTGTAGATATTTAGATTGGAACCAAGAGTTAGAACCTCGGAAACTTCTAATGAAGATGCGTCAATGTCCGCAAAGAGTGAACTTACCACCGATAAAAAAGACATGCTGGACAAGCTAGGAGAGCTTACTGCGCTTTATGGAACAAAGAGGGATAGGAAGAAGGTTTGGCTCTTTCTTGAACCTCGGTTCCTTAAGTGGAATTGTGGTGTTACATGTAACTATAGATTCATATATGTTTGATTAGGTTTCTTTTATCTTGATGCTCAAGTGGTAATGCAATCAGCTTTTGTTGGTTTATTTTTAGGGTTAAATACAAATTACTATTTGTGAACCTACATGTCTTTACATCTCTAGTCGTAGAATAAAAATTAGCAAGTATAAGTCCGTCACACCCTTTAGCCTCCTCGCTAATGCTTGGTCCAAGGATGTTATGCTTTCTAAGAGCAATGGTTAATCACCGAATTTCACCCGAGAGAGCAGCAAAAGCAAGACTGCAAGAGTCTCATCCCACCAAACCCTATGAAACTTAAGCCAATGTTCTCTATCGACTATCGGTTCAACTATACAGGATACATTCCAGAAGTTCTCCAAAAGCCTTTTGGCAAGTGGACAGTTAGAGCAACTCTCGTCGCTCAATTTCATAACCTTGGAGCGCCAAATTGTGATGATTTTTCTGGTTGTTTTTGTCATGTCATCCTTGGATGTAGTTAATGGGGCAGATGAGTTTTTAAGCTTATTTTAGTACAATTAAAAGGTTTAACAGCTGTATGTATAACTTCTGATTCTTGTATAATGCAGAGGAAGGATTTTATTGATTTGAAGAAGGAAGCTGATCCTGAATCACAAAAAGCTCTAGAGAAGAAGATCGGGGAAGTGGCCTTCGACAAGGATGCTTTGGCAAACACCAGTGCGGTTATTGCTCGTAATATCCCTCCGCACGATGTTTCTGCTACTACTCCCCCAAAAGCTTACCCTCTAGACAAGATCATTCTCAAGGGAGACTGGGATTTTCTTGGGGATATTTATAAGCTTGTGGAAGCAGGCGAAAAAGTAGCCAACACTGCCTATCCACATTTTGTTTGCAACAGAATCCGAAAATTGGATGCCACTCAGGTAAGACTATTTGAGGGAATATATACTTTTTGAAAACACACACACATAAGAACTCGTTGCTCTTGATGGTCGACGATATATTATAATGATGCCTTTAACCGCAGGACGAGACACAGAAGTGGCAACTGTCTTGCGTGTTTTCGTATATTACTCATCTTGTGAAGTTCAGAGATCAGTTCTCCATGGGGCAGACTGCTTCTGCTAAGAACCATAATATCCCGAGCATCATACGCCACAGATTTATGAACATGTTTACTGATCCAGGTTCAAAAATACTGGCCAGTGAGAAGATCGATCTTCTGATTAGTTATGTCTTGGTGCTCACTTTACATGTCGACGGATTTCGAACCGACCCATCGGATATAGCGAACGACCTCAGAATCAGTAAAGTAGATTTGAGACGTCATTTTCTGAACTTGGGGTGCAAACTCGTGCATCAGAGCAGCGTATTGTATGCTACTCTTCCCGTGCCTCTAAATTTTCCTTCTGAGAATCTCAGGAAGAAGCGCAGGCAGTAGATGGATCGGCATGGATCGGCGAGTTTTCAAATTGGCAGTGTGAGTATGAATCCATGACAAATTTTGATTTATTGATGTTTTCCATATTTTTTATTTGAGGTAGAGGGTTTTTGAAGCCAAGGTGCATGGGATGATTTATAAGTTGATTGGTAATTGATAAGGGTTTTGATATTTATATCAAATTCTCATCAAGCCTAGAATAAGCATTCTATTTTTTCCCTTCTGGTTTACTTCTGAATTTTACTTTCATGTTTATATGGTCATTGTTGAATGAAAGTTTTCCTAATACCCTAATGGAAAGTTTTTCCCTTTTGATCGACACTCGAATCGAATGGACTAGACTCGAGCTTGAACTTTACTTAAGTTCATAATGAACTAAAACAAATTACATGATACCTAACTCGAAAAGTTCATGAACGGCCTAAAAAAATAATATATTGTTTTTCTAATTTTTAAATTAAATTATTAACAATATTAACATTTGTATGCTATTTTTTAAAATATAATATAAGATTTTCATGTACTTAAGATTCAAGTTCGAGTTTGAACTTCAATCAAATTACGTCTAAAATTATTTCGAGTTCAAATTTTTTCTAACTCAAGTTAAGTTTCAAGCTTGATTTTGAGTCGAGTCTAAAAATTTTAAGCTCATGAACTTTCAAGTCAAGTCGAGCTTTAATTTATAATTTCGAGTATTAATCGAGCTTGATAATTTTAAACTAGTAAGATTTGGAGTCTAATCAAACTCAGCTTTATACTTTTTGAGTCTAGTCAAGCTATCCTACTAATGGGCAATGTCTCAACTTATTATTATTTCTTGAGGTCTCATATTCAAGCATAGAGAATGTGAGATGTGAGCGTTCAATGTCAAATGATTGAGAATTATCTTTAATTAGATAATACCTTGTACTTACCCCAAATTAATAAAAAAAAAACATAACAATCACATCATACCAATAATAGATGACTTAAGAACAAATGGCGAAACCGTAAGTTACATAGTTCGAAAATGACAAAGCAATGTAGATACCAATTTCAACAAACCTTTCCTAATACACACATCAAACCTTGGTTGGTTTACATCTCATACACATACGATTAATGTTTGAGGAGGGGACTGCACTAACAAAACACCTCTGCTAGTTGTATGCCAAGTAACAAAAGCAACCAGCCATAACATGGAAGGTTTTTCTTTTAAAATATTATTTCTTCTCTTCTGTGAAAGATATTTTATGGTTAACTCGCTTTACATTAACCACAAAACATATAGGCTGGTAACATACCAAACTCATATTTGTCTTTCAAGCTCAACATTAATTAAAGGATTCTGTCCTGCAGATCCGACATGAGAGTGGATGCCAATGAGCTCAGTTTCTTTCCAGTCTCTCCGGCCATGTTCTTAAGGTTTGATATATCTTGTTGTGCCTGCAAGTAATATTTGATGATGATGATGGTGCTAATAAATCAACTAAACTCAATGATGAGAAACAAGAAAATAGGAAAACGTGTACTCCCAGATTGCATATGCACTAATAAAAATTCAGGGGATGCATAACAGATGCAACATACAAAGCAGACCTGGAAAGAGAGTCGGTTGATGATATCACTAGCAGCAAGGTCAATAGAACTATCAGCAGACTGACCGAATAGATCAGCACTGGAGATGGCTGTTGAACCCTGCAAAAACCAAAGTAGCTATCAAATATCAGAAAACCAAATTACACTGTTGTCAACAGATAAATGGATTACCAGCTACTTCCAATTATCCCTATATTCGTTAAAGATGATTAAAGAAAGCATATTCCAAAAATTAGCTGTCAACTAGAAAACTAAGGATGTTATCTTTCAAGAAAGCAATAGCTACTGCACGTACTGAGAATTTCTTCAAAGTAACTTGAGCATCATTGTCTACCCTGGTATGATCACCAAAATATTGGGCTGATGAAATAGATTTTGCATTAGAAAATTTTCTCCTAGCTTCATCAGTTTCCTGAACCTGAGAATAAAATGAAGCAATAAGAAACCAAAACCAAAAGGAAAAAGATACAAGTGGAAATAATAACCAAGATTGATCCCTTCCAAGCCGAACCATAATTACTCCTACATGGACATCTCCAATATGGGAACTAAGTCTATTTGGTTTGGTAGGTGAAAGTTACATATCCAAGTAGACTGAAGGCTATGTACCAAAACTCAATTTTCAAGGGAAAGTTTAACTCTAGGCTCTAGCTAAAAGAATAACCGAAATAATATACCATGTTCAATTTCTTCATGTCAGATATCCTCATGAAGTTAAAAAGTCTCTACTCTCTAGCAGTATAGATTTTCAATTAATCTTGAGTGATAAGAAGAATCATAAAGTAAGAAGTTCTAAGACTAAAAGGAGACAATCCCATCAAACAAACCAGCCTTTTATACAAAAAACAATTTAGCTCCTCACTTACTTGCACTTTTGAGCTTGATTTCTTCTGAGAACCACTATCCATTCCAAATTCTGCAAAGAAGCTTGATGACTTTGGTGGAGCAACATGGCCAAGAGTTTGCGGGCCGCCAGAATTCAACTCACTAGATTGATTATTTTCTACATACTCAAAACGAGAAGGAAAAGTTGAAACACCGTATGCAGTGTCATTAGCTGGGGAAGCAACAGGGACAACTCGTTCTTCAGGCTTTTGATCGTAGAGATTTTCACTTGGCTGCAAGAAAATTATGTTATCAAGAAGCAGGGTATTTAAAATAACTCCAAATAAGTGACCTTTCTAATCAAGTATCCTTGTGATCATTCTGTGGTAATTCCATTGCTCAAGAGGTCGGTATACCTTTGAAGTAAGCTTTCTGGCACCAAGTCCTCCGGTTTTTCCAGTTCTTTTTGCACCAAGAGGCTTCTTGATGGTGCTGGTAACAACTTTATGAGAAGCTTTCGGTTGAGGAGGAAGCTCTGGTTTTTCTTGCCCGCCTAAAGAGCTTTCTTTAGGAGATTCATCAATCTTGCTATGAAGAAGTCCACTGGGTGCTTGAGGTGACTGAGAAGCAACAGGGGATGTAGGCAAACCTGCCTCTTCTGCCATACTCTTAGCAACTTCTTTAGATAATAGTTGCCTATATAAATCGGCAGCCCTTGAAGTATATTTGGCCTCAATTTTGCCTCCATCAGACCATCCATGCTGCTTAAAGAAAACCTGAGCACGGTTGTTTCCTCCATAGATCATCATTTTCAATTGTTCAGGAGACCAAGAATCTAAATTTGTAGACCTGCATAAAATATTCGTGCTTTTCAGAGAAAAAAAAGAGAAACACAGACTTGAGAATATAGGCAGCAGATTATCATGGTATGATGCTATTGACATCAAAATATTCATGTCGTCGCTAATAAATATGTTTCACTGTAAACACCAAATATCTATAAAAAAAAACACTTTTGTTGACGAGTAAAGAGGCCACTCTTTGACTCCAGGGAAAGAACACGGACAACAAGAAATAGGGAGGTAATGCGCACATTGCATTGTTTACCCACAAAAACTCATAGACAGGTTAAGTTAATAAAGATTAATCTCTACAAAAGGGTTTCTTCTATACCCTCCCCCGCCCCCACCCCCCGCCCCCAAAAAAAAAAAAAAAGAGGGAGAGAGAGAGAGTACCTTTCAAAGTAAATTTCAAATCTATATCAAAGGGAGAACAAATGCTAATGCAGGAACAGCTTACACCATTTGGGTGTATAAATCAAAAGGTGAGTTTAATCTCATACTACTACACACAACAAAAGCCCAGAAAAATATTTCAGTTTAGGATTCTCTCCAGCTTCACAAAACATATATGCATGTGAAAATTCATAATTTAGGAGCACGTAAAAAGAATACGAAGAAGCAGATTTTTTCGTATCAATTCATTCCTTCAATTGAATTTCAGGAAACCCAAAACTGCAGAACGTAATCTCCTCAATTAAACGTTTTCCATAATTCAATTCACAAATTTCCACACTAGAAATATCAGTTTTATGCATAGTATAATTGAGAACTTGAAAAATAAAAGGAATCACTAATTAATACAAAACACGAAAACCAGATCCGAAAACATATTTAAAAAAACAACCAATAAGAATAAAACCTGACAAAGCTGATGTGTACTCCGAGACTCCGATGAACGGCAGAGCAATCGATGCAAAGAAAGATCCCGTAAGTTACCGATGCCCATGTTGGATTCTTCGCATTACAATCGAAACACGTCTAACAGGAAAACAAAACAGAATCGAAGATCAACAAAGGGAATTTCAGATCCGAAACAGATCTACAAATAAAGGAAAATTATTTTTTTTAAAAGAGAGGGGGGGAAACCTTGTTTTCTGATTTAGCTTTCAGCTTTCTGAAAACAGCATTTTTGTCGGTCATGTTATCGGACGACGCCATCGATGCTTTCCCTTTTTTTCTTCAAAATTTTCGAATTTCAGAACGAAAAATGTAATCTTTATTTATATTTATATTTATATTTATATATATATACATTAAAATGGAGTTTATGAAGAATGAAGGGGAAATCGCTATACTGAAGAGGGGTGGGATCGATTATCGAACACCTCCTCTGGCTTACCAATTGAACCTAGAATGCGCAATTGGATTTTTGGTTTTGGTTTTGGTTTTTTTATAATGTAATGTCGATTTTAGCCTTTTTTTTTTTTACTATTAGATTTTTTTCTCACTAAACTTAGTACATTGAGTTTTTTGATCACTGAACTTTATCTTCTCTTCTATTCCAGTCGCTCCGCTTTTAAATAGTTAACGGCATTAAAAATGACACGGTTTTTAAAAAAATAAATTTTTTACCAAAGAGACGTCATTTTGCATCTATATAACAGCTCATTTTAATGACGTTAGTTATTTAACGACCGAGTGACCAGATAAATTCAATGTATTAAGTTTAGTGACAAAATTGAAAAGAATTAAAGTACAATGAATGAAATAGGAGAGATTAAAGTTTACTTAATAAATTTATAATTGACCCTTTATTATAATAATAATAGGATAAATTACAAATTTGGTAACTAATTTTATTTTCTTTCCTATTTCACTCATTTTCTTTAAATATTTTCAATTTTCTCACTGAACTTAATACATTGAGTTTTTTTTTGTCACTCAGTGTTTTTCCACTAACGACGTTATGACGTGGCTTTTTTGTTGCTAACAAGGGAGTGACCAAAAAATTCAATACATAAAGTTTAGTGATTAAATTAAAAATAATGAAAAACATAATGAATGAAATAAGAGATAGAATAAAGTTTAGTGATTAAATTTATAATTTATCTATTATAAAAACCACGTCATAACATTAGTGAGGAATTTCTCCGACATATACTATAACGTTCACACTTTATGAAAAGATAATTTCTCCAACATCTTATATGCGAATTTTTCTCCAACACATTACGTAACAAATTTTGCCCTTATCGCCGGCAGTAACTCCCACATATTTTGTGCACCACTTTTAGTTGACCCTTGTCTCTCTCATACTGCTTCTTTATTCGCTTAAAGTCATGTAAGCTTTACTGGTTACTACTATCAACTATCTAAAGTAAAGTTGGAGTACAAACCAAAGCGATCTCAATAGTAAAAAAATTATTGTAATTTTTTGAGATTTTATATTTGAACACCAAAAATATTAGAGATATGTCAAATAATAATAAAGTATCCAAACTTGGATGTACTTGAAAAGGTTATTTGGTTTGGGTTGGTCTCCATACAATGAACTAGTACCCTATAAAGCTACTACCCTCAGTTTCCATTTATAATTGCTTTGGGCTTAAGGAAGTAAACTTCGCATGTAGACTATATTATACATTATCATCTTTATCATTTGGTGATAGTCAAATGAAGTAAGCGTCAGGGGACCTTATTAGATGTTTAAATCATCATTAAAAGCAAGTTACTTATATGATATATTAAAATCCAGGATAAACAACCTATTTGATCACTTAGTTTCTGTTTTTTTTTCATCCTATTATTTCTTCAAAATCATATCCAACGTTCTATTTTGAAATTTTGTCACTCCGCTAAAAAAAATAATTGGGATGTTGATTTGAGCATTTTTTTTAAGTTTTACGTGATCAAAACGTAACATTAGGTCTAATTTAAAAAATATATAGTTAGATCACCAAAATAGAAACTAAATAATAGGTGAGTGACCAAATAAGTAGTTTAACCATTGATATATCAAATATAAATATTGTATAATTTATGCCTTGATTGAAAGTTTAAAAATACTCTATCATAGGGACTTAATTTCTCAATCATGAACCCATCAAATAAATTCAGTGGTAAAATGAAGTGTTGTTCCCCTTAGATGTTTCGAATTCGAGCAATTACGTTTGCAGAGTATGTATTGTCAATGACTAAAAAAGACATTATAATCACGCTCGTACTATTAGGAAAAAAAACAATTTCTCAATCATTACCTACACATATGAAGATGGGCCATATACATTCCTTACTCCACAAACAATTAAGACAGGGAATTTTGTGGTAGGGATTATAGTTTTATTTTATCTGCCTCCCCCTTCCAAGAGATTGGACCACCCGGCTGGTGTACATTATATGATGTTCATAAGTCATGAAAATGGGTGCATTGTCCCATTAATTACTTGGATATATAGTGACAACAAATCCTTTGGAATTTCTCTTGTCACAAATAAGTCACTAAAGGTATTATTTTGTATTTACATTTAGTGATATCAAAACACAGAGAGAAGTTTAACTTCAATAATGGAATTGAAACTGGTTCGACGTGCGAGAGAGCGAGGCAAGGCCAGGTTTTCGGTCTGCAAACGCTGGTTTGCATACCGTCTGCGATTGGGGTTGTTGAATTGGGGTCGACGGAACTTATAACCCAAAGCTCAGATCTCATTAAAAAGGTTCGAGCTTTGTTTAACTTCAATAATGGAATTGAAACTGGTTCCTGGTCTATTAGTAATACTACTGCCGATCAATGCGAAAATGACCCGACTTCGCTTTGGATTACTGATCCCGATCTCGGAACTGCACTCAATCAAAGCAATAACAGTAATCCTAGCAATCAGAATCCCAGTTCTAGTAGTTTAACCTGTAATCCGAGTTCTACTCATGTTGGAAATCATCAGCAGGGCCCGAGTTTTTGCTTGAATTTCTCCAATAATGGCTTTGATGGGAATTCCCCTTCCTCCTTGTTGAAACCAGAATCTGGGGAGATACTAAATTTATGTGAGAGTAAGGGAATCGGTAACGGAACTTTGTTTCCGGGTAGCTCTACAAAGAAGAGGTCACCTACTTCGAAGGGAGTGATGAAGAAGAGATTGTTTCGTTTACTTCTGGTGTAATTCTGCCTCCCTGTGACGTGGTGAAATCAAGTGGTGGTGCAGGGGATTCCGATCTCGAAGCTTCGGTTGTTAAGGAAGCCGATAGTAGAAGGGTTGTCGTGGAGCCTGAAAAGAGGCCTAGAAAACGAGGACGAAAACCGGCTAATGGACGAGAGGAGCCTCTGAATCATGTCGAAGCAGAGAGACAACGACGAGAGAAGCTTAACCAGAGATTTTATGCCCTGCGTGCGGTGGTTCCAATGTATTGAAGATGGATAAAGCATCCCTCCTCGGCCATGCTATTTCATATATTAACAAGCTTAGGAGAAATCTACACGATGCGGATTCGCAGAAAGAGGAGTTGCATAAACAATTAGAGGAGACAAAGAAAGAACTTGCAAGTAAAGACCTAGGCCACACGATGTCGAACCGCATCGACTCCAAATTGGCAGAATTAGATATCGATGTCAAGATTATCAGATCGGATGCAATGATCCGAATCCAGTCCAATAAAAAGAACTAGGGCTTGGCTTTTGTGTTGAACCTTGTAGTATATGTATCTAGGTTGTTATAAATGAGAATGTGAATGAAGTTCTGGGTTTGTTCTTCACTGAGAGCATATTGGATGCATTCATGTTAGAAAATAAAATCTTATTGGGGAGTTTGCAGACATCAAATTATTAAAAAGGAAATAAAAACGTACGGATTAATAATTTTTATTTATAATTTGACCCACAATACTTTTTCTAAGTTCAATCATATCCCAAAACATTAATATCATATAATTGTAAATTCTTTAGTTAGTCGTCATTTGTTGGCAGATTTTTGTGATCACGATAACGTAAGCGAAAGAAAGGTAGTCCATATTGCATGCATCAACGTACTCTCATCTTTTCATCTCAAAGCTCCAATCCCTCCTCATCCCGGAGCTCCTCAGCAGCCTAGGGTTACAGTCAACTTCGAACGCAACCGCTCCGTTATCGACCGTATTTAGGCGTCGATGGTGACCCTTCTTCGAACCGACCACCTGCATTATCGGCTCTTCCCTTCTGAGTTGTTCATAAACGGCGGGGCTTATCTCGGACTTACTTCTAGCTTTTTTGGACCGAATTTTCCTTGCATATTTTGGTTTAGCACAATGATGATCTATATCATTGTCTGAATCTGTTCTTTTCAGGATCTGGCAATTCAAGCAGTTGAGACTCATGGTTTTTTAAAAGGGTGGAGACAGAACACAGAAGAGAGATGTTTTATACACGTTTTTTTTTTTTGAAAATTAAACTTGGGGTTTTGATGTTTTTGAAGGGAAGAACAGATTTGTTTGTTGGACAGCTTTGGGTGTTTTAATTTAGAGCTAGGAAGACAGGTCAGCCAAATCTAAATTTGGTTGTCAAAAAAATTATGGGGTTTACGTACAACTAATAGATGTAACCAATTTGTTACAGGTAACCCCATATGAAATCTCGAATTTATTAGATTTACAAGTCATTGTATTTTATAATTAAATATATGGGTTTTATAAGTCATTGAATTGTAATCAGGGTCGGATCGAGGAGACTGCAAGAGTAGACGTCACGTTGAAAGTTTAAAATTATTATTTATTTTAGATTTTTTTATATATTTTTTATTAAAAAAAATTCTATTCAAAATTTTATAAGTTCATCATTGTCTAAAAATTTATAACATAAAATCATACATTGTCTCTCATTACACCAAACTTGCTTTTTATTATCCTTTTATTTTTTATATCACGTCTTTATTTTTATCTTTTTAATTTTCAATAAGTTTAATTTTATGACACGTTTTTCATCTGTTTCTATGACATATTTTTTCATGTCTTTTGTTACGTTTTCGTTCGTTTGGTCTTTTTTCATTTATTTTTTTTAAGGGGTTAATTCAACATCATCACGACTAATCAATATAACACTTATATGTTATCAGACTTATTTTCCCTACTTTGGACTATCATATTAAATTTTGATAATTGATTTGAGTTTGTGGATAACTTTTTCACGTCGCTCGACTTTGATTTGTGATTTTTTTAATGATCTCTCATTAGCTTGACCCCCTTTACAGTTTATTTATCAATGCAATCAGATCTGTTTGTATGCATTATTGTTCAATTTTTTATTAGAATTTTTAATTTTTTATTATATGTTCCTTATGTGATCTTAAGTTACTAATTGCATTAATAATCTTAGAAAAATGACATAATTATATGCTTAATTTACAATTATGATTGTAAATCACTATTATAATTCAAGATGTCCAACCAGTTGTGAAGGAAAAGCTCTCTCTCTCTCTCTCTCTCTCTTCCCTTCACTAACGGTGCAGTTAGCTTTTTCTAGAAGCAGCCCATCCTCCTGTCGGAATATTCGTTCTCCGATCATCCCTGGTTATCCGTCCTCGCCTATTCGGTGAACGCTCTTTCTATTCCATTTTTTTTCTGTAATTTTATCGGATTCTGGAATTTCTCAGGGTTATTTTTTTTGTGATTGAGTTGCTTTGGAAGATTTTTTTCCGATCGACTAAAAGGAAATACTTCCCATTACAGATGCGCATATGAAGACTGCATAAGAAGACTGTTAAACTATGTATTTATTTATTTATTTATACATCCATTGTATTTTATCTTTATTTTTAATTTTCTAATTACCAGAGATCTTCCACGAAAACTACTCTCAACATGGAGTTGAGGTCAACCTATTACCCTACCTCCTCCTTACCCTATTACATATGAGAATAAGGTTTTATTGTTGTATTATAATTCAAGATATTTTATTTTTTTAATAAAATTAGTGGCTTCCATATAAAAAAAACATGATACTTGTCTCTCTAATATACTGCAGAATAAATTTCAAAAGTACCACGTCTATTAAATTATTTATATTTTCAAAACTTCTAAATCAAAAGAATTTATGTTTAAATCTCTTAATTTTCTACGTTAATCTCAGCCATTCATTTATTTTGTGATCTACAAAACGTGCAAAACTTAGTTTTCACTTTTTTATGACCGTTAGATAAAGAAAATCAAAGGTTGAAATAACTCATTTTTTCTCAATTAATATATTCACATTTCCTACTTATAATCTCACCTTTTGTTTTTTCTCATCCAACCGTCATAAAAAGATGTAAAACTAAAAGTTTTAGGCTAGGTGAGACGCACTCCATGAGGACCTATTTGATACCATACTATTATCAATACGATGTCATTGTGGGTTCCAACTCCTTAAGCATCATCCTTAATAAAATCTAGACCCATTTTAACACATTAATTCTTCTATCCCTCAACGCCTTTCCTTAGAAGTTCCTTTTAGATATAGCAAATATGATTCAAAGGGTACCCTACAGAGCTGCATGGATTCAAGGGCATTCTTAAATTCTACTACCATAGAATAGAGTATTCAAGGGCATTCTCTAGAAATTTAATCATCCCAAACATGATCAATCATACAGGGTGACAAAGGAATGATTAAACATTGATGTCACGTAATACGATCTTTCTAGAAAATTGAAACTCGAGTGCAATTTTAGTCTGCAACACTCTTCCACTTCTGTAAAGCATTCTATTCTGAAATAAAGTTTGCACACAATAGTTCTTCATGTTGGATATATATACTATGCAGTCATCTGAAACCAAAAAAGTTGTAAAAGTTCACAAAACAATAAAAGCTCTTCCTAAATGCAGCAACAAACCGACTTACCGCTCCATAAGTTGTAGTCAGCAAACCACACAATTGCTATCCACCGTTTGATTTTGTACCAGTGATACATTTATTCTACAAAATAGCTCGGTAAAACCAACTCAACTCTTCTTCTTTCTAGCATCTGCTTTCCAGTCTCTTCGACCGAGCTTAGGTTTCCTAGTTTCACTGTTGTGCAGGTTACCAGAATTCTCTAAATTGCACTCTCTTCCTGCAGATCCTTCGTCCCTAACCCTAGGGGGCAAGAATGATATTTGGCTTTCAACAGTGGTGTTAAGAGTAGACTGGATAGAAGCATTAAGAGTGTCTTGACCCTTGAATATATGAGCTCTTCTAGCGTCCTTTTTCCAATCCCGTTTACAATAAACACGTGCCGTCCCATTGTTAAGGGTCCCATTTATTTGCAACTCCACTTTTGGTATGGTTGGTTGGCTTAGGACATGAGATTTCTGCATGTCTGCTTCAAGTCGCTTTCTGGCCCTATATCTACGCTGCCGTTCTCTGTTCTTTAGACGGCGAGTCATAATGTCATTATAGCTTTTGGAGTTGGTGTTAGTTAATAAAGTACTTTGTGTTCCACTAGGATTCATATTCGGTCTGTCTTCCATTTCAAACAAATGTTACATCAGCATCAATAAAACTAGTTGACAAAGGAACCTATACGATCTGGATACAACATGGGTATGATGGAAAGCATTTCTCACTTCTTACCATCGAGGATTTTCAGCAACATCAAGTCAGGTGCCAAACTGCCAATTACCATTATGTCAATCGAGCCATCATACTGGAGTCTGTATACAAAATAAAGCACAACATTTAAGGGATTAAGCTAAAATTCTAAATAGAAATATCATTGTATTGGATACGATATATGCTACATTTTAACACGACACTAATATTTCCATAAATTTGGAAATCATGTACGATTTCTTATCCTGATCCTCCTCGACATAGGTATGGAACTTTAAGTTAAACACTGTTTTCAGGGTACATTATACCATATTAGCTACTGTCCCCCAACCAAATATGATTCTCAGTTCCTCACAATTCGTAAACATTTTCACAATCGCCTACGGGAACAGAACCTGAACTATCTTTGCTCTTAATAAGGAATAAGAAAACTTCCCTTAGCAGTAATAAAACTGATCATGTAGCTAATTTAGTCGTTAAATCAAATAAATTACAACCATGATCCTAGTTCCATCGCTTATTTCGTATGTTTTATGTATCATTGCATCACATGTGATCAACGAAATGCAGAATCTAATGAAATATTTATTCTTGGTATGAATCAACAACCCAGCTCAATTTACTGAAAACTATGAATAATAAACAACTCAACCCGATTTATAACACGAGCGAGCAACATGTAAGCTCATCAAAGAATCTAAACCCTCAGCATCAATCTCCTAGAACACATGAACTATAAACCCATTAATTAGATTCTTTTTTCAGACCCATATGCCTCTTACAATTACCGAGCTTGAGTTTTTTAAATTCTTTTTCTTTATGGATAATGGAAACTGTCATAAATCATGAAAAACATTAATGAAGAGTAACATGAACACTTTGTCGAAAACCATTAATCTAAGGATCAATATTGTCTGAACAGGAAACAATTGAAGTAAAATCCGAATAACCCTATCTATGGGCATAAAAGAAAGCAATAACCCCACTAATCAAAACAAGCATAGAAAGGGAAAACCTTTAAAGATTTTCACATTAAAAAACACCTTCAATGTTGTTCAAGGGTGACCCACAATCCTAAAAAGTACTAATTTCTGAGTTTCAAAGCTAAAACCCTCAAAGGATAACATCTAAAAACAGTAAAGGGGGATGCATTGTTGTTACACCATGGCCCAAAAAAACTAAGATAAAAAACAAAATGGGGGGGGGGAGAGAGAGAGATCATACCCATCGGAACGCAGATAGTAATTGTGAAATTGATTTGAGAAACAGAGGAGAACTAAGGAAGCGGAGGTTGTCGGATTAGGGAAGAAAAGGAAGAAGATAATAAGGGGGAAAGGAGAGGCTTTTTAATTTGGGAGCTAATTTAGGCTGTTTATTTTTACGACAAATTAAGAGTCAACATTTTTTAAGAACCCAAATGGTTTCTCTTTCTCAATGCCACGTTACCATTCCAAAATATTCTTTAATATATCGACAACGAGCGTACATATATCTTATAGACATAGTACTCAAATTATGATATCTAAAAAAATATTTTATTTAATTATTAATATCGTTTAACACTTTTAACTATCGACATAATTCTTTATTAACGATGTCAAATTGTCTATAAACATAATTATTTAAATTCTTTTAAAAAAATAATATTTTTACATGAATCAAAAGATTTATGTGATAAAAAGAATTATTGATTCTTGAACATCGAGCATTAAATATTTAAAGGTCGTTGCTTCCTAAAATATATATATTATATAAACACAATTTGTGTCATTTATTTATTTATTTTTCATTTATCTTACGCGTCATTTCATTATCACTAATTATTGGACCCACACAACGTAGGAGGAAAAAAATGTCGAAAATGAAGATGAATTGATGTATTCATTTCCAAGTTGACCCACAGCGCACGTTAGTCTCCTGCAGCACATCCCTCGCTAGCCCTAGGGTTTACTTTCCTTTCTAGCTTTCTCTTCCTTTCGATTTTTCGTTTAATTTCAAGCCCCCCCCCCCCAATTCTTCAAAGAGGAGGAAGATCTTCACGCTGACTTCAAAATTACAAAATCTGGTATGTTTTTCATTCTCTCTTTCGTTCACGGTTTCTTTTAAATTTTCACTTTCGCTTTTTACCTGCACTTTTAATCTAGTTGTTGTTGAATTTGCTTTTTGGAGCTAATTGTTTTATAAATGTTTGACCTTTGTTGTGCTCTGATAATCTGAGATTTGTTTATTGAGTTGGAATCCTTATGGGTTGAGTTTGTACATTTTATCTTTATGATGCAGGAAGCTGAGTTGAGTTTTCGTGGCAATTCTGAGGGGACAAAATTGATGGATTTATATTTTAGGGTTTTCGGGTTTGGGGAAAAGGTTGCCTTTTTTTCTCGTTGAAGATCAGATTCAGGGTTTGGTTTTGGGTGAAGATTTGAATTTGGAATCCCAAACTTTGATTCTTTTTAATTACTGCAGCCTTCTGGATATCTAGAGAAAGTCGACACTGTTTCGCAATCCCTTTTTCGCAGCATATTGTCGTGAAAATATTTCTAGCTGGTGCTTGAGCTTGAATTTTAAGGTTTTGGGATCGTCTGTTGAAGGTTTTGAATGGCTTGACTTTGTGAGTTTCTGGGAATTTGGGATTACTTTGCTGTAGTTCACGGTGCAGTTTAGTTTTTTTGAAATGGATAATTTGAAGAATCGGCTTAATGATCATCTAGCCGTTAACAAAATCGGCAAGAATATAAAGAAGAGCCCATTGCATCAACCTAATTTTGCTAATAATGCAGCTAGGCAGCAGCCTCAGCCCCAGGTTTACAATATTAGCAAAAATGATTTCCGGAATGTTGTTCAGCAGCTCACAGGTTCGCCTTTGCATAATGATCCTTTGCCAAGGCCCCCACAGAATTCTCCCAAGCCCCAAAGTATGAGGTTGCAGAGAATTAGACCTCCACCATTGACGCCAATCAATCGGCCCCGTATTCCTCCTCCGATTCCAGCCCCTGCTCCTGCTCCTTCTCATACACCGGCGCCAGTTCCACCTCCCGTTCCTTATAACACTGGCTTTGTTAGACCTGGTCAATATGGACAACCATTGCCTACAATGTTGCAACCTATGGTTCCTGGAGATGCTCTATGGGCAAACACAGGTGAATCTCCTATATCAGCTTATATGCGATACCTTCAGACTTCTCTTATAGATCCAAGTCCAGTTGGGAATCATGGTCATCCTCGACTACACCCTCCAGTTCCAGGGCAACCTAATGCTCCACCACCATCTTCCAGTTTGCTTCCTAATCCACCAATGCCGGCAATCCCTTCCCCAAGAGGAGTAAATGGTCCACCAATGTTGCCTAATTTCCCTTCTCCACGAATGAATGGTCCCGTACCACCAATGCCCAATCTTCCATCACCAAGGATGAGCGGGCCTGGTCTTTTACCTTCACCGACTTCTCAGTGCCTTTTGCCATCACCTTCTGGCTATATGAATTTGCTGTCCCCCCTCTCCCCTTACGGGTTGCTTTCTCCCGGGGTTCAATTTCCTCCATTGAGTCCCAATTTTTCTTTCTCCCCAATGGCTCAGCCAGGGATTTTAGGTCCTGGGCCTCAGCCTCCACCTTCTCCAGGTCTCGTGTTTCCATTATCTCCTGGTTTTTTCCCCTACCCAAGTCCTAGATGGAGGGATTAATAATCCAAGATATTTCATTGTCGTTCACATCAGTTCCATACTCATCGAGGAATTTGGACCTTTTTCCTACTGGATCATGTCCTTCTCATCCAAGTTCGGTCGGAAAGTATAATGTATATGGTCGGAAAGTATAATGTATACTGCTGGTGTGAGTGTTTCTTTCTTTATTTGTTTTGTCTCTTCTGTTATGTCCATACCCATTTCACAAGTTGTTTGCACTTAGGCTACATAACAGCTGCAATGCTCTCTGTATTCTTGGACAAGTTTTACATAGGAGATAGTGAAGATTGGATAACTAAGTTTGAACATCCTGACAGCAGCTGTAACTTGAAAGGAGCATAGGGTCGTGCGTAAAAAGAAAATATAGGTAGGCAAAATTTAGTCGAAAATTTCTTTTGTAATTGTACTGTTGTGGATCCTAATTAGTTTTGGTTGAACTCTTGTTCATTAGTGAGCATGTGGCAATAAAATATTCAAGCATGTTATTCAAAATAAAGGCATATGATGTTCAAAGTTGTAACTCTACCTCCCCCCAAGATGTTTCAGTTAAGTGTGATGATGCTCAACTGTTCCCCTTGTTTGCCTGATTTATTGTTATACATTTTGGGGATTCCAATTACATCAAGTGGAGTGTGTTAAGGGCTTACAAGGTAACATCTGGTTTAGGATTTTTTAAGTCATTGATAACGTATATACACCTTATAGACATAACTATTCGAACTTAAGACCTCAAGAGAAAATAACATTCCTCTTAACCACTGAGGTCAATCAATGGTTCACATATCACATAACGTCATATATTACCAAAGTTTTCCTTTGGGGAAAGGAAAATGGACCAGGCATTCACAAGTGTGTGTCTATGTATGTATGTAAACTTAAACTTGAGTCAGGCAGGGCCACAGATTGCTAATGGTCCAGCAAACTTAAACTTGGACCCAATCTATGTCTGTCACTAAAAGTTGTCCCCAAGCTGCCATACTACTTGATTTCAGTTTGTGTTTTTAATGACAACACATGGTATTAGGTGGCTTCAAAAGGCTATTTTGGTATTGTATTTTTTTCTTTAATTTTGTTTATGAATAAAGTAAAAAGAGAATAAGATGGATGGAAGTTAGAGAGGATAAAAATAAAAGAAAATAATTTTGTTTAATTTACTTTTACTTGATCATATTGTTTAGTCTGCTAACTTATAAATAATTATTATTATAATCCTATAATTGACACTCTCTAAGAACTATCATAAAACCTCTTGATTAAGATCAAAAGATGAGATAGAACCCTAAAAGTAAAAACACTAAAAACCATAATTTATTTAATATTACTTTATAATTTAACTATTAACTACTAATTAAGTTAAATTTTATTATAATTTTAATGGTTGAAGATTACTTTATAACTAAATTTATTTAAGATAAGAATTTGTTTGAGATAAAAAAATTTGATGATCAAATTTGTTTTCTTCATACATCTTCACAAATTTATTATTAATGTTTTTGTGATTTCCTTCAAAATTTAGGTTTATATTATTGAAAGAAATTTTATAGGGATGTTTTTTTTATTAATTTGAGATAAGTACATGGTAATATATGTTTGAATATAACTTTCAACATTGAACGCTCACACTCCTAACATCTATATTACTCGAACTCGAGTCCTCAGGAATAACAATAATTTATTTACCACATATATCACTTGGTTCGTGCTTTGTAGGGATATTAGAATAATATTTTGGGATATAAATTGAGTTATGAGATATAAAAAAATTTAATATTTCAGTAATTAATACATTTTAAATTGATAATACATGTCAACAAAAAATTAATTTTAAAAAAAATTAATAATTAAAAGTGAAAAAATAAAATAAAAGTAATCGGTTTAATAGTTTTTTTTTTATATTTTATTAAATTGATATTATTTTTATGGGTTTCTTTGTTTGTTTTTACATATCTTCTTATCAAAGTCACATCTCTGTGACGCAAACGAATTTGGTTTTCCAAACCACAATCTCAATTAGATGGGAGCAGTTTCTTTCGGGGGAAAATAGTAACAAATTAGTTTTTATTAATTTAATTTTAATGAATAAAATGTATAATTTTATTTAAAAATAGGTATTTTTCTAAAAAAAATATTTTTATAATATTTTCGGTTGGCAACAAAAAATGCTACCTTATGCATAAGTTAACATTTTAGATTGTGTTCAACCGTAAATGTTATAATTTTTATAATATTTTTAATCGCACTCATTTCTTGTCGTTTCTTAACCTTAAATTAGACTGTCGTAGGACAGAACTACACGAAAAGAAACGTTATAAGTGTATTTCAATTTGAGGCATATGTGCTTTTAATCCCATTTTTGACACATGATCGGTCTGGCTTTTAGTCCCATTTAGGCATTTATGCAAGGTGTTTTAGGTTCAATTTTTAACCGAAAATGTTAAAAAGTTAAATTTTAGATTATGTCGAATAAAAAATGTTATGATTTTTATAATATTTTCGATTGCGCCCGTTTCCTTCTGTTTTTTAATCTTGTAGAACTACATGAAAAAAAAAACGTTGCAAGTCTATTTAAATTTGAGGTATATGTGCTTTTAGTCCCCTTTTTGACACTTGAACTGTCTAGCTTTTAGTCCCGTTGAAGTAATTAATTTAATCATAATTTTGAAATTATAATTTAATTAATTTTATTTTAATCATATATTAATAAAATAAGAATAATGAATGCCACATCATACATAAATATTAATAAAATAAGTCATGATGATTAAAATAGGAACAATTTGAGGGATTAAAATTGAAAACTTATAAACTTTAGTGATTAAAATGGGAGAAAGAAAATAGTTGAGTGATTAATGGTGTAATTTTCCCATTTATAACAGCATTAAACAGAGTCAAAGGGTCACATTGAGTTATTTTGTGAGTCGGAGGGCAAAATTGATCGTTAAAAATATGATGTTGGGTTGCTTGACGTGCCATGTCAGCACAAAATAACGAAGACATTGGTCAATGACGAAAATGTTGGTCAAAGGGTTATATTGAATTCTTTTTTCAAGTTGGAGAGTCACATCAATAAAAAAACGATAGGGGCATTAGTTTTTATTTGAAAGTTCATAGGCCTTTGATACCTTTTTTGCCTATTAAATATGATTAATATGATTTCCAGGAATATAATTTAGTGGCTCAAACAAAAATGTGAAAACAAATGGGTTGTCAAATATATAGTTTACCCGACCAACGGTCCAAATCTTGTAATTGGTGCTGGTAATAATATAAAATAATATTTATTTTTTGTTTCTCCAAATTGTTACCAATTTAAACATCATCATTCATCAACAGAAGCAAATAAGATGACAATGTTAAAACTTTTAACCACAACAACATTTGATTAGCCTAAACTAGACCTTGTCACTTCATATGCCAAGAAGCATGCTGCATTTGCAGGGATGCTTCGTGCCATGGCGGGGCCGAACCCTTTGTAAAGCCCTTTCACTCCCTTTGATTAGCCTAAACTAGACCTTGTCACTTCATATGCCAAGAAGCATGCTGCATTTGCAGGGATGCTTCGTGCCATGGCGGGGCCGAACCCTTTGTAAAGCCCTTTCACTCCCTTTGATTAGCCTAAACTAGACCTTGTCACTTCATATGCCAAGAAGCATGCTGCATTTGCAGGGATGCTTCGTGCCATGGCGGGGCCGAACCCTTTGTAAAGCCCTTTCACTCCCTTTGATTAGCCTAAACTAGACCTTGTCACTTCATATGCCAAGAAGCATGCTGCATTTGCAGGGATGCTTCGTGCCATGGCGGGGCCGAACCCTTTGTAAAGCCCTTTCACTCCCTTTGATTAGCCTAAACTAGACCTTGTCACTTCATATGCCAAGAAGCATGCTGCATTTGCAGGGATGCTTCGTGCCATGGCGGGGCCGAACCCTTTGTAAAGCCCTTTCACTCCCTCTGACGCTAAGATCGACCTAACTGCATGTATGGAGCCTTTGTACTTCGGGTTTTTGCAACCATCTACTTGGATCACACTCTTTACAACATCAGTTGGGTAGACAGAGCCCCAGAACGAAGCTCCCGCCAAGCCTCCGGCTACAATCAACGACCCTCTTCCCAGTTTCGATGTGTCGGTCCCTCCTGCCATGTACTGCTTCAGCGCTTCATAGACACCGAACATTGCAGCATTTCCGGGAACCTCACGAGCCAAGGTGGGAACCAAGCCCTTGAAGAGACCCCTTGCACCACCTTCGGACCTCAGCACTTGCCTGGCTACATCCATGGGCCCTCCATAATTCACTGCCACAGTAGCTGAGCCAGTGTCAGCCACCAACGCACTCTGTGCTTGCAATCTGCTTGACATTAGATTTGGGTTCACATTTAACAACCAGGCTAATAGTTAAGTTGACAAAAGGACCTCGTTAACACAATATGGACACTTTGAAGATTCGATTATAACGTTTTGGAATTTGAGATCAATTCAGATTTTTGACTATAATCTGAAGACGTGAAAGTAATTAACCCAAAAAGGGAATATGAAAAGCCACTAAGCTGACCTGCATTTGATCAATTCAGTGGGGCAAGCTAAGAAAGAGACAGCAACTCCAGCCCCAGCCCCAGCAATGACCTGCTGGTTAACCGTGAGGGGGGCGCCAGGCTCGGATCTCAGCAATGCTTCCATTTGCCCTCTCACCGTAAAGAGGACAGCATTGAAGGCTGCCACAGTGGCTAGTGGAGCCCCCATGCCCTTGTACAAGCCCCTGGGACCTTCAGCAGCTATAGTCTGCTTCACAGCATCCATAGCACCAGCAAACTTAGGCGGTTGACCGGGGAGCGGAGCAGGCTGGCTTTGAAGCTTCACCTTGATGGTATCAAAAGGGTGCCCAACAATCAACTGTGCTGCTCCTCCCATGGTTCCAGATGTTAGGTCCTTAGCTACATCTCCCATCTGTGCAGCATGTATGAAGCAATAATATAATCAGGATGCACCATTTATAATACAACTAAAACTCAATTACAAGACATCAAGGGAAACTATCTTCATTGCAGCTAGTTCTCGTTGTTGATTTGGTTTAAAGATGAATGCTTTAGTTACAACATCAGAAGCAAGGCGTAAAATCAGCAAGTTCCCTGAAAATGGGAACTTGAAAAGATAAAAAGATTATGGCAAATAGATGAAATTCAGACATAACAGAGTTTAAAACCAGAAGTTGTCTTATACCACACTTATTCGAAGGAATCTTACCTTGAACGTTAGAAAATGAAACTGAATCGAATTTGATGGAGATTTAAGTCCCAACCCAAGTTCTCAAATCTGCTTAAAAAGGAAAAAGAAAGAAAGAAAACCCATTACTCAGATCCAAAACAAATTCTGCAAAACTCAGAAACGAACCAAAAAGGAGACGCAGAGCTGACTCAATACCAGAAAGTGACAGAGCATTTCCAGCAAAAAGCACCCTCAAAGTTCCTTTCTTTTGAGGGGTGAAGAGGCTTAAAAATGGAATCTCAGTGTAGGATTGAGAGCCACAAGGGAGTAGTTGGGTACCAAGAACTCTAGTGAAGAGTGGATTTCACACAAAGAGACAGAAATGAAGAGATTTGTGGCTGTGATGGGATTGCTTGTTTGCTTTTGATTTACAAGCAGAGGCCAATAAGTTGTCAGTGATCGTCTTTGGCTCCCATCAAAGGGCGTGGTTGGTGAATGGTGATTGTACAGCCGTACAAGCAGAACACACATATATAGGCTAAGCTGATAACATAAGAGAGGCCTTCATTTTCTCCCAAAACATAGGGAAACGACGGTTGACACATTGCACTGCTAATCTCCATGCAAGTAAGCCCACGGATTGGCCCTTGTCAGTTTGTGCAAATTTAGAAGCTTGAGTTGAATTCCATGCTTTGATGCAGACTTTATGGAATTATTAAATTAAATCATTATTAATTGTATTATGATATGTTAGTCTAGTACGATTACACGGTGGTATCTATTTAACACTTTATTTAACAAATTAACAACACACCCGCTATGACAATTGCTCGAACTCGGTATCGTTGAGGTCGCTTGATGGGTTATAAAGAGTTGTTAGGTCCAATAATATGCGGTCAAATATATATCTAAGGTCCAATATTTCAGTCCTAATTCTACAAAGCTATGAATAAATAGATAAACATTATCTATTAAGTTGGTGAAAATGTTTTAGCGTATTAAGTTTAGTAACAATATAAAAATATAATTAATAGTTACAAACATTGGTGCTTTTGATTTTCCTACAAAGACAACCTTATGGCATAAACCTAGGTTGTCTCCTTACTAAAAGACCACATTAAACAAACAAGCTAACATATGGTAATGTTCATGAAACAGTTCAAATGTAATATTATTGATGGGAGATCAATTAAATCTGTTGTCTTCAATCCTCTAATTGAGCGATGATGCTTGCAAAAACGAGATAACCTTGGCACATGTCCGAAAGAAGGCAGTACTCTTTCTTCGCATGGTATGTTGCCATTAAACCTGCACATATCAGGTTTGAGGAAAAAAAATGAAGCATTCATAGACATTTCATGGTCTTATGTTAATTCCTAAAGCAAATAGAACAATAGATAGCCCAAAGGTTTGCAGTAATTCTCTATAGGTAGCCCTAATCTCAATAGATATCCATGACATCATATCGTAGATGAGTATTATTAACCCTTCGTGTAACTTCATTCACCTGCAAACTGATTCACTTGTCATGAAAATTGAGACTGCAGTAACCTTAGGCTACTGATCTGGTCGAGTAGCTTACATTTGATGAGTATCGGATTAACTTAAGATACAGTAAAGGCTCTCACTTTCCGCTATAGATTTTACTAACTTAAGCACAAAATGCATAATGTGATAATGTTCTCATACCATAACCAGCAGTTTGTACGTCAAAACCTTCATCCTGACAAAATGAGCAAAAACAAATAGCTAATGACTGTTTCTAAGAAACCAGGAACTACATACTATATATGTGTTGCTAAAAGATATATATATTTCCATGTATATATCTCACTTTCAGCTCTCGAATGAGTGGCAAACTTCCAGTAATTGAGTAAGGCTTCACATGCCCAACTGCCTCTTCGGTATCTTTGCACAATACATGGAATCCACGAGAATCAAGGTCTACATATTCTTGTAGCTTCATCATTACATCTTTTACACTGAGATAGAGTAACGAAGATTCTCAAAGACGAAATACCGATTGGCAATTTTATTTGGGAAAGAATACAAGATCTTCCACCGGAAAATAACTTGAAAGGTGTAAAAGATGTGATCAAGTTTGAGGGATGCTTACTTGTAGAAAGGATTTAACCTGCAACCCGAAACAAGGGTCCAAGTAAGAACACATTTAATGTCAAGAGACTCTACGAACATTCTGAAAATGTAATAAACCTGACATCCCTCGATACTGTACACTCTCCGGGAATTTGATTGATTCTATAACACCTTAAACCCGATTGGGCCTAAAGTGTCATACTGGGCTGCCGAGGCAACCCCTAATCCTCAAAACATGTTCATTTTCTTTTCAAATGTAATGAATAGTATCATAATAAAACATAAATAATTGTTATAAAAATATTTTACAAAATCGAAGCTCCGTGACGCATGATTTAAATCAAAATAATATATCTTGGAGCTTACAACTCAAATACATAAGTAAGGTTCTATGAATACACATTCTCGTTAAAGCTACAGTACTACACTCTGTCAGAGATGCTGGAAGTCATGCGGCGACGATGCTCCACGAACTGATTAAGCTACGAACCTACCAACAGAAAACATCCGAAAGTTGAGCTTACAAAGCTCAGCAATATAATCGCTAATCTAGACCAGCATAAGAATTTCATAAACTAAAGAATGCTAGAGACATAATACTAAGCAGTAAGTACAAGCATGATTCCAATTAGAGCTACCTACGTAAGATCCTCTAGTTTTATCTCTCGAATCTACGTCTCATGCTTCCCTTAGTCTTCGCTAATGGCCCCTCCATGAGTATACAAGTACTAAGTCTCTAACCTCATTATCATCCTATAATGCATCACCATGCCAAATACAATGACGACAACCGATATCACAGAGACGTCGATACTATCACTCAACAATAAGTAAGCATCGTGGTGTAGCTCGGGGTCACAGAGCATCACGAAACTCACACATCTGTTTGCTTAATAAAGATACCTTGGGTAGACCTGAATCACACAACATCAACATCTCCCAAGTATCTTAGGTGAGGTCCGGGTCATATAGCATCGACACCTCCCAATACCTTAGGCTAAGTTCGGTTCACACAGCATTGACACCTTGCCTGACTAGACCACTCCTCTTGAGTACTCGAAACATGTCTGGGTCACATAGCATCAGTACCATGTTCAACTAGCGACTAAAGTGAATCTTGCACTGAATTAGATATATCCGGATAATCTATACGGACAAGACGACCGTCCTACTGCTAAAGTAACTCGGGTATCTTAAACGTTTCCCGAGTGACACACAAAGGTATAACTCTTATTGAATCTTACCTCATAAGGCTTTTATGGCTATCACACAATTAATGTTATTATCTCATTATTATTATAAGGTTCTCATCTAGAGCTACGTCTTAATACACGTCAACTGATGCCACACTGCAGCAGGCGAAGTAGCTCGATCACTCGCTACTAAACTCATTGAAGTCAGGTGAGGTCATAGCCCTTCAACCGAGAGTATCTCCCTCGTCTTCTCGCCTAGGACGTTATGGGAGGGGTATTAATATTTATAGGGTATTTTACTCATTTCTACCTCCGGAGAGGCCTCTAAGCGTTACACAATTTCCAATTGATTATGGTGCTCGTAGTACACTGATTGATTCACTAGTTAGCTTGATACCTGACTCGGGCTCGTTACTAGGTAACAACACTCTTAACGCTCTTATCGTACTTCTCCCAATACCCCTTGAAGTAGTGGAACGACTTATCCATTTTTGTTTCACTGACATTCTTGAAGCTCCACGCTCTTCTTCGATACTGAATCTGACATGTTTATTGTACCGCTCATTGGGTACCGCATGTACTGATCCTCAATCCCAACTATCTGTATACGTCCTCGATTGAATATACTTTAGTGTGTTATGCTTAATATGGTTACACTCGATGTAACCTACTCCTACGAGTGATTTTTTAGGTATGTTGGTTCATTTATGTCCCTCCTAGACTATGTATTACTATTACGGATCGTCCTTAGATCTTACATACCTTAAACTGGTCAAAAGAATATTCAACAACACTTAGAACCTTTAATAAATGCAAATCAATCATTGTTCATCGAGTAAAACAGAGAATGAATCAATCATTTCTTTCGAGGGATCAATCCTTTTCTCCTGATGGATCGATCTTTTGCTGGTTAGAAACTTTGGGATTGATCCCTTTGATCGAGGGATCGAACCTTTTTCTGGGAATGACTTGCTTAAGCTCGGGAATCACTAAAATATCACCCCAAACGACATGGGTTGGTTTCTAAACTTATTCAAAAGCTTTAGTAAATTATTTAGGATCATTAGACATCATTAAAACATGTTATTAACACCTAAAACGTGATTTGGTTGAGAAATTAAAGAGGAACCCTAAAATGCTCAAATCATCAAATCTTAGCAAAAACCATAAATTTATGAAACCTTAATACTCCAAAGGAATAGAAATACACTACCTTGAATTTAGAAACCCGAAATGAAGCTCATTTTTTCTATCAAGCACCCTCTTTTTTGACTTTGGTTGATTTTTCCACCATTTTTCCTCAAACCAAAATACAAATATTCTTAGCATAAAACGGAAATGATGAAGATTAGGAACAGATTTGTAGCTTAAAAAGGTAAGGAAGAAACCTGACTCACTCACCTTGAGCTAAGCACTTACTATGGCGGAAGAAAATGGAGAAAGAAATAAGAAATGAGGAAGATAAGAGAAAATGAGAGAACCACACGTGAAAGCTTGATATAAAACCCTAAAATCAGCTTTCAAATTCCTCAATTGTCTAATTGCACGAAAAGTCCTTCCTATTTTGTCTCATATCCAAAAATCCCCCTTTTTATAGCTAATTGGGCCCTAAAGGCAACCCAATTAAACCCAACAACTTAATTTATAATTTCACATGGTCCACCTACTTTTCGGGTTAACCCGAAATTACTAATTCGTAATTTGGGGTATTATAGATTCCACCACATGGATCTGCACTAAAGAAGAACTTCGTTGATGAACAACCTTTATTCTCAAGAATAACGTGTTGATCTTAGGTTTAAAACTTACGACTCCATTGTATTGGTTTCATGGTTGATGGTGTAGCAAATCCATATACTAGTTCATTTGGATGGGGAGGAAAGTCCTTATAAAACCGCTGTTGGAATTCTTTAAGCGCTTCCATGCCTAGCTCCAACGCATTTATAGCCTGCAGATAAATAGCAACTTCGAAGTTAATGGAGAACGGAAAAACCAAATAATCACCAACTATTTTAACAGTTTATATTAGGATTTCTGTTTGTTTAATAAAGAATGATTACATTTTGATTAGGCAATGTCGTATACCTTGTGCGCCAAACCACTGTGAATAAGCTTCCCCGTCAGTGAAGTTTCCAGGGTATCATGCCGCCGGTACCAATGCAAGGTTGCTTATCAGCTATATCGATCCAGAAACTGTGAAATCATATGAATTAGTAAAGAAGAAAGGA